GCCCAGCTTTTGTCTTGAAAGCTTGTCCTTCAGGCTAGTTTGCATAAAATACAGCTGCTTTCTGCTCAGAATTTGTGGTGGGGTTTTTTTTGTTTTTTTGTTTTTTGTTTTTTGGTGAGACAAGGTATAGCTGTGTAGTTTTTGGTTTTTCTTTTTGTTTTGTTTTTTTGTTTTTTTGATACCGGGGATTGAACTTGGGTCCTTGCGCTTGCAAGGCAGGCCACCGTATAGCTCTGTAGTTTAGGCTATCTTTGAGCTCACTACGTAGCCCAGGCTGGCCCCAAACTCACAGCAATCCTCCTGCTTCAAGCTCCTGAGTGATTACAGGAGTGCGCCACCACACCTGGCTTCTGCTCAGAATCTTGAGCCCATAAAGATTGTTTGAGGGTTTATGTGAACAATTGTATGTCAGCTTTGTCTCCTTTATTACTACTATTTGCAAAGGAGTAAATTCTCAAAAATCATCATGAACATGCCATTTCCCCCACAGAAGTGAGAGTTTCACAGCAACTTCTAGGATTATTTGGAATGGTAGAATAGAAAAGTATGGTCTCCATACTTTTTGTCCAGCCTCCATTACTGGCACTCTTCACTTTAATTGCCTTTTTTTTTTTTTCACTAGATTACATGAACAAGACGTAAAGATTTCTTTTTCTTCTTTCTACTCAAGGTTAATGTTTGTTACATGTGCATCATACACCAAGTTGCTCCAGTTATTGAGAGTTTAGGGATAAGTACCTCATAAGCCCTGCCCAAGAGGAGTTTCTTACCCACTAGTGAAATATAAAGATTATTGCCATTCAGCAATCATCACATGACCACAGCAAAACCACAGTTGTAATCAGTTCTTTCCCTTTCTGGTATCTCTTGGTCCTTGTACCTTTTCCTCACTTCTGTCATCCTTTCTGTGGCTGCCTGTACTCTCCTCTATGTCTTTTGGGTGGTACCTGTTGTGCTCATTGTACTCTTGTGGGGCTGGGGATGTAGCTCAGTAGAAGAGCATTTACCTAGCATTCCTGAAGCCCTGGGTTCAATCCTTAATATTACAGCAAAACAGAAACATACTTTGTTGCAGAACCTGTTTACTTGATCTCTAAGCACCTTAAGGGGAAAAACTTGTTTTGATCATCAACACAGTACTGGGTTCAGTAAATCCTGGAATTCTTCTTGAGTGACTAAAGAAAGGTTCCTATTCAATCCTCAGTACCACAAAAAAAATTGAAAAGAATAAAAATTTTTTTAATCTAAAGAAAGCTTCCTAAGAGAGAAAGCAATATTGAAGCCAGTTCTTTTTTGTGGTACTGGGGATCAAAGACAGGTCTGCTTTAGGCTATACACCTTGCCCTTTTAAATTTTTTATTTTGAAACAGGATTCCTCTAAGTCTCTAAATTGTGCACGGTGGACTCAAAATTCCAGTCCTCCTGCCTCAGCCTCCCAGAGTGCTGGAGTTACAGGTGTGTGCCTCCATGACTGTCATATTTGAGCCAGTTCTTAATTATGTGTAAGAGAACTTCCCCAGATAGCTTTGGGAAAGAAATTCCAGTCTAAAGGAACAATTTATGCAGATAGAGGAGATAGTATAGAGTTTATAAATGACTAGGCAGACTTTCTAATTTCCACATGGAGTTTGAGGCACAATTTTTTTTTTTTGTATTGAGGATTGAAGTCAGGACCTTGCGCTTGAAAGGCAGGCAGCAGCACCACTGAGCTAAATCTCTGGCCCAAGGCACAATTATTAATTTTAAGACATTATTTATTGTATGTAACTATGCAGAGCTAGCCAGACTGGGTTAGAGTAGAGGGATGGGAATAAAGGAAAGTAAGCAGATGGAGTATTTGGCTCACTGATAAAAGTGCTTGTCTAGCTCTGCATAAGGACCTGAGTTTAATCCCCAGTATGGGGTATGGGAGGGGTGAGTCTGCTTTTTCCTGCAATTATATATCCAGAAATTAAAAATTAGTCTTCTATTTTAGTATTTGTGTGATCTATTAATTTCAATTGGTAAGGATTAGAGAGGGCAGGGGTATGGGGGAAAAATGGAAACCAAGATCTGTCATGTAAAGGTATAAGATCTCAATGATAAATGTAACTGTACTATATTACTAAAAAGTACCAATAAACTCAATGAAAAAAATTTTCTATCAGTCATCTTTTCCTAAAGGAAAGTGATTTTCTTCTTAACCTCTCACTAGAGCTTACCTTGCTGAGACATCAGGCAATTAAAAAAGAAGTATGCTAAAAAAAAAAATGTAAGAAGTATGCTGAATTAACCTGAGGGAGATATAATTAAACTAGCTAGGGCTGGGGATTTAGCTCAGTGATTCCACTGCCTTCATCACAAGCATAAGGTCCAGAGTTCAATCCCTGGTACCAAACAAATAAATGAAAATTTAAAAATAAAATAGCTAAGGGCCAGAAATGTATCAGTAGTGCCAGGCCTGCCTGGCAAGCAGAAGGTCCTGAGTTCAATCCCTGGTACCAAAACTAAAATAAAATACCTAAGAGCTTTTTCTCCTAGATAATCCAATTTATATTGGTATCAGGATAAAAGTGCATTTAAAGCATTATATCTTGTGATTGATCTTACAGACTGTTCATTGAAAATAAAACATGTAAATATGCTGTCATGCTGGTATATGATTTGATGGATTTGCTAACAAAATGTTTGGAAGTTGTAAATATCACTAAAAGTTTAGAATCTGTAGTTTTTGCCAACAGAGAGAATACAGTCTAAAAAATTAGGAGGTCAAGAAAATTTGTAATTTTGCTTCCTTGTTTTCAGCTTTTGTTGTTTGTAATGGTTTTTCTGTTTTGTTTTTTGCTTTTAGTATTAAATCTGAGAAACAAAGCATTATTTTTGTTTTGTTTTGTTTTTGAATTCAGGGCCTTTGTACCAGGCTACATCCCCAGCCCTTTTAAAATTTTTTGAGACAGAATCTGTAAGTTGCAAGTTGGACTGGAACTTGGAATACTCTTGCCTTACCCTCCCGGAGTGCCAGGATTAGAGACATGTGCCATCACACTGTGCTAGGAACAAAATATCTTTTAAAGCTGGGATCAGATTGTAGTTCAGTGATAGCATACTTGCCTATCATGTGTAAAGCCCTAGGATCAGTTCCTATAACTGCAAAAAAATTTTTTAAGTTTATTTAATATGTGTATATCTTTTTTTCCCCTGGTATAGGGAATTGAATCCAGGGTTTGTGAACTGAGCTATGTCCTCAGCCCTTTTTTAATTCTGAGATCTTGTTAAACTGCCCACACTAGGCTGGAATTTGTGATCTCTACTGGGATTACAGGTGTGGGGCTGACTAATATGTGTATATTTTAAGAAAAGAAAATAATTAGTGAAAATATTTGTACATGGAAGAAATTAGTGACAGCTACACTTGATAATGGTGTTATAACCTGAACTCCATTCCCTACTACCCCTTTGCCCAAAGCAAAGGACTCCTGTTAGTTTGTTTGTTTGTTTGTTTTTGGAAATACTGGGAGTTGAACCCAGTGCCTTTACATTGAGACATCCCCAGCACTTTTGTATTTTGAGACACAATCTTGCTAATTTGCTCAAGCTGGGCTTGAATTTTCAGTCCTCCTCCCTCCGCTTCCCAGAGTGCTGGGTTTATAGGCATGTGCTACCATCCCTGGCTAGGACTCTTTGAAATTAAAGTCTTTTTTAAAATGCAAAATTATAAAATGTTGACTGGGTGTGGTGGCGTGTGCCTGTAATCCCAGCGCTTGGGAGGCTGAGGCAGGAGGATCGTGGTGAGTTCAAGACCAGCCTGGACTACATAGGTCAGTCTCAACTACATAGTGAGACCCTGTCTCAAAAAACCCCCCCAAAATTATAAAATGTTGGTTATTTTAATAACTAAAATCTCACCTGGTAAATTACATAAATTTATGTCATGTTTTTCAAGTGAAAATACACACTAACTAAGTTAATTCACTAAAATTTATTTTTTTGAAGCAGTCTTGCTATGTAATTCAGGTTGGCTTTGAACTCACTATGTGGCCTAGGCTGGCCTCAAACTCATGGCGATCATCCTGCTTCAGCCTCCCTAGTATTTGGATTACAGGTGTGTGCCCCCATATCTGCATCATCCTAATCTTCTTTTGGGCTAACCTGAACTATATATCGAGACCCTATCTTAAATTATCAGTAATTAATGAATTTGAATGTTGCTTAAGTGTTTCTACATTTTTTCTCCTTACAGATACCTTAGCATTGTTATTTTCTTACTTGTACCATTTCTTTTTTTTCCCTTATCAAAAACTGCTAATAGTAATACAGGCAAGAAATAGAATGTATTGTGGAAAGGTTAAGGGAAATTCTGGGTACTAGAAATTTTTTTAAGGTCTCAATTTGGAGAACAAAAATTTATACTAGGACCAGGGATATAGTTCAGTGGTAGAGTGCTCCTCTTTTTTTTTTTTTTAGGAAGAATCTTTTTTTTTTTAAATTAAACATACAGGGCCGGGGATTTAGCTCAGTGGTTCTGCTGCCTGCCTCACAAGTGCAAGGACCTGAGTTCCATCCCTGGTACAAAAGAAAAAAAAAAAATTTAAACATATATACACACACACTCAGAGGACTGGGTACGTATCTTAATATGAAAGCCCCGACTTCAGTCCCCAGTACACAAATTCTTGTGTATTTGTTTTTTGTTTGTTTCTATAGTACTGAACTATATTCCAGACTTTTAAATTTTTTTGGTCACACTAAGTTGCCTAGACTTGGCTAAAACTTGCAATCCTCCTGACTCAGCCTCCGGAGTGATAGGACTAGAGGCGTGCACCACCACGCCCAGTTGGTGCATTTGTGCAAACTCCCTTTCTTCTGTGGCTCTGAACCTGGAGAGTTTAGCCAAGCTCAAAGTCAGGAAAAGAGGGTGTGTGCTTTTGGGCTGTGCTGCTCGGCAGCTAGAATGTGGTTGGCAGTCTCCTCCCCTTCCGCACTTCAACTCTTCACAGTGTGCACTCTGGAATGACAGGCATTTCTGTGTGAAGAGAGCCAGCGTGAAGACATATTTGTAAGAACCACAAGTGCCCAGGCCAGGATACAGGAAAACAAAAACTCCAGCAAATTGACTGACCTCATGCCGTTTCCTGACATTTGGCAGTGACAGTGAGAAAGGACTTCAGGTCTCATCTTTATATGGATTTATCTTTTGAGAGAAGTTTGCTTTTGTTCGGGACAGTTTGTTGTTCTGAGATACATCAGACAATATAATCATGGGGCAAGCTGATGTCTCCAGACCGGTAAATCCAGATACAGTTGGTGAGTAATAAAGCAATGAAACACTGAATCTTGACAGAGACAAGGTAGATTTACAGGTTAAGTTGATTACATAGGAATTTAAGTACAAGAATTTTGATGTCCATAACCTTGAAACGTTTATAAATTTGTGAAGAATGAATGAAAATGTATAAATTGCTGGGGGGTGTAGCTCTGTGGTAGAGAATTTGGCTAGCTCTAGGTTCAATCCTCAGCACCCAAAAAAAAGAAAAAAAAGATGTAAGTTATTATCACACAATTAGATTAATATACCATTCTCAGTTTTGTTGTACTTAATCTCCTTGGAGTTTTTAAATATTATATTGTTATGAAGCTACTTATCTGTTAGTTTCTTCCCCTTGGAGAAAATAAATACTACCAGAACTCTTTATTTAGAATTAAAAGGGATATTTCCGATATTTTGTGGGACTTGGATAGTTGCTACATGTGTGATATAGAACTAGAACTTCTAACTTGTAAATACAGGACCATTTTTAAAAATTGAGTTAATTTTTTTAGTCTTGACTTTACATTTTCCAAGTAAATCTCAGGTTTTTTCCATGATGCTGGTATTTCACTTTCTCATAAAACAACACATTGATATACAAACTTTTTTTTTTTTTTTTTTTTTAATGGTATGGGGATTGAACTCAAAACCTTGTTGAGGCAGGTGACAGTATCACTGAGCTAAATCCCCGGCCTTTGGTATACAAACTTTTGAAAAGTTACTGCTTTATATTTGAAGTTTTATACTATCTCAGGGAGTAGCTAGAGACCAGGCTAATAATTTTGGGCTTAAAACTTTCAGAGTTTAAAGCTTGTAAGTGATTTTATTGCTGCGAACTTGTTTTCCTAACTTTGTGTGGTTTTATATATAAGATGATGATCATGAGTTGAGAAAATGTTTTAAGTGGATGTTCATTAAAGAATTGCTAAATATAAGCAAGGTAAGGGGACACCTTTAAATCCTTTTAGGACTTACACTATTTTTTAAAAAGATTTATAGCTTTATATGCATTTATCAGAAAATTTTCTGTCTTATGCTGCTTTTTCTTTCTCAGAAATAAGTGTTTGCAACTTTCAGGAAAAATATAGAAGTATTGGAATACAGGTGACACTCCCAAATGTGACCTATAATTTGATATGATTTAGTTTGTAAAGTAACGTTTTTAATTAGAGAACTTTCCACGTAAAATATCTACAGAAGTATTTTTCATGTGTCCTGAAACTAAGGCACATGGATCACAAAGTGAGTTTTTCTGTAATAGATTTTTAGGGCCACCACAGTACATAACTCACTTTATTTTGATTACTAGGTCTGGCTCTTTATCAATTCAAAACAATTTTTTTAAAAATGTTTCATAAATATAACAAAGTTACATAAGTACACATGGCCTGGGATGTAGCTCCATGGCGCCAGGCCTGCCTGGCAAGCACAAGCACAAGGTCCTGAGTTCAATTTCCAGTACTGGGGGGAAAAAAGTGAGATTCAGGAATCTTCAATTCATACCTGTCAGTGCAGGAATTTAGCTCATTGGCACCGCGGCTGCTTTGCAAGCACAAGGTCCTAAGTTCAAAACCTGGTACCAAAAAAAAAAAAAGCACAGAAAAAAAATAAAGAGGGCCGGGGATTTAGCTCAGGGGTTGCACCACCTGCCTTGCAAGTGCAGGGACCCGAGTTCGATATCCAGTACCAAAAAAAATTTTTTGAATAATAAAAAATAAAGAACCCTGTGGGACCACACTGCCCAGTTTAAGAAATGAAATTAAAAACAGATATATACCTTATCTGCCCTCTTTCTATGCCTGCATTCCCTTATGATTATATTTTCTTCATTGTTACTAGATTCAACCATTTTCCTGCATTTGGCAAATAGCTTGCTTTTAGACCACTAAATTAGCCTATGGTTTCTACTCCAAAGATTAGTTCTTTGTTAACAAGTATAGGAAGGGGTCAGGCATATAGCTCAGTAGTGCCATGCCTGCCTGGCAAGCAGAAGGCCCTGAGTTTGATCCCCGATACCACACATATACAAAAGTACAGTAAGAATTCAAATAATGCTAGACATTTATCTAGGAAATAAATATGAATCACTTCTCGGCCTTTTGGCTAAGATCAAGTGTAGTATCTGAAATAAATATGAAAAAGTTTTGACCTTTTTTTTTGGTACCAGGGATCAAACTCAGGACCTTGTACTTGTGAAGCAGGCAGCGGAACCACTGAGCTAAATCCCCAGCCTCAAAGGAGCTTTGAAAAAACATTAAATTGTTAAGCAGGTGCAACTTAGTGATAGGTAGTATTTATGAAGAATATCTATATACTTATGAAAGATTTTTTTTGGTCTTTCTTTTTTCCTTTCTTTCTTTTTTGGTACCAGGAATTGAACTCAGGGCTTTATGCTTGCCAGACAGTCACTGCACTGCTGAGTTAGATGCCCAGCCCTATATATGAAAGATTTTGTGAGTAAAGTTTCATGGTATTTTTTACACTTTTAAGAGTAAAATTCATGGGCTGGGGATGTAGCTCAGTAGCACTGCTCCTGCCTTGCGAGTGCAAGGTCCTGAGTTCAATCCCTGGTACCAAAAAAAAAGAATAAAATTAATTGGCTAGGTGTGGTGGCTCACACGTGTAACCTCAGCTGTCAGGAGACTGAGACAGCCGAATCTCCACAAGTTCAAGGCTAGTCAGTGGCTATATAATGAGTTTAAGGCCAGCCTGAACTGCATAGTGAGACCCTGTCTCAAAAAAAGAGTTTGCTTTCTAGTTAAAAGTTCAAAATGTAGAAAATTAAAAATACTTTTAATTTAAGGTTTATCAAAGTACTCTTCAAATTAGTTGACCCTGACTTATGATGGAAGAAGGAAGTCAAGAACTAATAACCAAGGAACAGTGTATTTCAAATAGATAACTTGTACATTGAGGATTTACACACAAATTTCTGAGATATTATGTCAGTATCCAACCATTTTTTATCACAGGATACCTAGACAACTGATGAAACAGTTTTTGAATACAGAGTAGGAACTTATGGTACAGGCACTATTCAAAGAAATAAACAGTTGAATTAATCAGTTCATAGTAAAAAAGAAAAAAAACTCTTAAAATATGCTATAGGAGAAACCTATAAATTTATCAGAATAAAACTTTGTCAGCCGGGCGTGGTAGTACATGCCTGTAATCCCAGCACTCAGGGAGGCTGAGGCAGGAGGATCACTGTGAGTTGGAGACCAGCCTGGGCTACATAGTGAGTTCCAGGTCAGCCTCAACTACATAGTGAGACCCTGTCTCAAAAAACAAGAAACAAAAAAACCAAATATTTTGTAGTTTTTCTTCAACATAAAAGCCAATTTTATGTTCACTAGAATCCTTTACTGTGCATCATATTAAAAATAGCTAGGCTGGGGATTTAGCTCGGTGGTGGCACCACCTGCCTTACAAGCTCAAGGACCTGAGTTTGATCCCCAGTACCAAAAAAAAAAAAAAAAGCTAATTAAGCCCATGTCCTTAAATTTGAGACAAACAAAGGGAAAAAAAAAACTTTTTTTAGTACAGGGATTAAACTCAGGACCTTGCACTGGCCAGGAAGGTGCAGCACAACTGAGCTACATCCCTGGCCTCACCAAAGGATTTGAATATGTCCTATCCTACCATTTAGTCTGAAGCTTTTCTTTCTCCTCTGCCTTAACATTCCCTCTCTGCTTTCTTTTCTTTTTTTCTTTTTTATTTTCTTTTCATGTACTGATTAACTTTTACTCCCACTTGTCATTTGCATAGGAATATATTGCCCTAAAAGGTACTGTATTTTCCCTTTCTTACTTTCATTTTCCACCACCATTTGATTCATTTTGCTCTGAAATTTGTGGTTACAGTGTCTCACCCTCATAATAACAGGAATAACTTCAAGGAAGGCGATAATATATATGAAGGCAAAATCCTAAGGCATTTGGTGGATATATACAATTTAATGTTGCTACTTAACCAACAACAGTACAGGCATAGTGACCTGTGCCTGTATCACAGCTATTCAGGTGGCTAACTCAGGAGGTTTGCTTGAACCTAGAAGTTCAAGACCAGCCTAAACAGTGGTAAGACCCTGTCTTGATGATGTTGAAGATGTTGATAATGGTGGTGGTGATATATGGGTTAATTAAAAATAAAGTATTTCATGAGAATGAGAAACAGTATACAATCACCAGACATTTCTCATATATATAAAACAATAAATCAGAAAGGAACAGGCATGCCTTCCCCCTGTAATTTTGGAGTTGGGGAGGTGTCAGTGTAGGATTCTGTCATGCTGTCCTTAAAAGATTTTCTGTTGGTACTAAACTTGAAATAACCAACCAAAACTTATTGGCTTCCCTCTACTAGGTAGGCATTCTAGATCCCTTACTGCTATAGTCATACATTCCTGCTTGCTACTTCCAGGTAAACTTTGCAAAGTTAAAACTTTGTTTTTCTCGTAGTCGCGGGTGAGATTTGGCGCCTAGAGCATCCAGAGGCCTTAGCTCACCTTCTACTGCTAGTGTGGAAGGGTGAAATCCCAGCTCCTACAGCCCCATTGGCTGCCTGGCCTCTGCCTTAGATCTATGACCTCTTTCTTTCCACAGGACTGGGTTGCCCCGAGGCTGATGCTAGGACCATATGGGTAGGAGAGCTCGATTGTCCCCATTTTGTGTTTGTTGTTGTTTTGTTTTGGTACCAGGGATTGAACTCAGGACCTTACACTTGTGAGGCAGGCGTGATGCCACTGAGCTAAATCCCCAGTCCGATTGTCCCCTTTTTTCAAATAAAAATTCTCAGTTTTTCACATATAAAAACTAAAAAAATAAAACTTTGTTTTTCTGCTGGGTGTGGTAGGTAGCACATGCTTGTTATCCTAGCACTTGGGAGGCTGAGGCAGGACGCACCTCAAGTTAGAGGCCAGGCTGGACCACATAGTTTAAGGCCAGCCTGAGACTCCGTCTCAATAAAATAAAAGAAAAAAAAACGAGGGTGTAGTGGTGCACACCTGTAATCCCAACACTCAGGAGGCTGAGGCAGGATTACCAGGAGTTGGAGGCCAGCCTGGGCTACACAGAGAGTTCAAGCCCAGCCTGAACCATATAGCAAGCCCCTTTCTAAAAAAAAAAAAAAAAAAAAAAAGGAAAGAAAAAATAATTTAGTTTTTCTGTGAAAGAATAGCTTATACTTAACTCTCAGCCTGAAATTTTAATCCAGAGAAAATGTTCAAGCGCTGGGGATGTAGCTCAGTGGCACCATGCCTGCCTGGCAAGCTAAAAATCCTGAGTTCCATCCCTGGTATTAGAAAAAAAAGTTTGGTTTATTTTAGCTGGTGTGGTAGCACATGCCTATAATCCCAGCTCTTGGGAAGCTGAGGCAGGAGGGTCGCCGTGAGTTCGAGACCAGCCAGAACTAGCGAGACCCTGTCTCAAAAAGAAAAAAAAAAAGTGTAAGCCAGACATAGTGGCACAAGCTTTTAATCCCACCTCTTGGGGGACAGGCATGAGGATTACCATGTATTTGAAGCCAGCCTTGGCTACCTAGTAAGTTCAAGGGCAGCCTGAACTCTACCCAGCAAGAGCCTATCTCAAAAAGAAAAAGAAGGGGAGAGGGGCATGGTAGTGCACACCTGTGATCCCAGCACTCAGGAGTCTAAAGCATCCATGTGAGTTTGAGGCCAGCCTGATCTGCATAGCAAGACCCTATCTCAAAAAAACAAAACAAAACAAAACAAAAAAACCGAGTACATCAGTTTGCCAGTGGTATAATGGCATCCTCCTTTCCTCCTACCTTTTCCCTTTCCTCCTTTCCCCTCCCCTCCTCTTCTCTCCTTCCCTTTTCTCCCTCACATTCTACCTAGCCATGTGCTGTACTTGTGATCTATGCCCCTAGCCAGCCAGATTCACTTACTAATGCACTTGTGATCAGAAAGCTATATTTTTTCAGAAGAAGAATCTCAGATTTAACTGTAATTGCAAGTGCAGAGAAATTTCTCCCTGACTATCTTCTCTTGAGTGCTTTCCCTAATTCTTTGTAATTCCCAAGGGTCAGAGTCATACAAGATTTCCAGAAGTGGGGGCCTTCTCTAGACACAAAGGCTACTTTGTCCCCAAGTTTAGGTTTCGTAATTTTTTTCCATTTTCTGAAACAATTCTTTCAATCCAATAACAATCCTCTTTTAGAGAGCAAGATAAGTAAATACAATATAAGTGCCCTAAATTAGTGACCTCCGTTTACAAAGTTCTAATGCTGTGAAAGTGCTATTTACAGTGAGATCTGTTTCTAGCTAGGTAGGTATGAAATAAACAGGTAAAATCCTGTACTCGCCTCGGCAGCACATATAGTAAACAGGTAAAATCCTTAGGTTATGAAGATACCTGGCACTTCTTGATGCTGAAGCTTGTTTGTTTGTTTGTTTGTTTGGTACTAGGGATGGAACTCGGGACCTTGTGCTTGCAAAGCAAGTGGAGGAACCACTGAGCTAAATCCCCTGAAGTATCTTTTTAAACTATGCATTTTAGAATATTGTACAAATAACCGATTATATAAAAAATGTTATCAGCAGAAGTGGGAGAACTTGGGCCAGGTTATTTGACCAACATGTCCAACATGTATGACTAAGAATTGGTTGTTAAAAAAAAAAAAAAGAATTGGTTGTAAATCTCATTCTAAATGAACATAATCTGACTGAAGGTATATTGTTGAACCTTGTCTTTTCCTTAGCTCCATTAACATATATATATATATATATATATATAGAGAGAGAGAGAGAGAGAGAGAGAGAGAGAGAGTGAGTAGCTAATGAATACTTCATGTGAAATTAAAAGTGTGTTTTAAAATATATTACACATTTATTTAAGAATCACTCCTTAATTCATACATGCCAACTAAACTTGAATTTAAAAACATTAATCAAATGCTGACCAAGAGGGCTGAGAATGTAGCTCACTTACTGGCTACATGCCAGTACTTCTTGGCATAAACAAAGCCCTGATTCAATCTCCAGAACCGAAAAAAACAAAATAAAAACAGTGCTTGTTTTTTTTGTTTTGGAAATAGGGTCTCACTCTATAGTACAGGCTGACCTAGAACTCACTGTGTAGCCCAGGCTGGCCTTGAACTGTGTCAATCCTCCTGCCTCAAGTTCCTGAGTGCCGGGATTACAGGTGTGTGTCACCATGCTTGGCAAGAAAAAGTGTTGACTGGGAAAAGTCTGGTGGTTGAAGCAGCTCTAGAATCTTGTATAATACACAGTATAAGAAACAAACCTGGCTACAGGTATACCTCAGTGGTAGAGAATGTGCTTAGTCTGTGTGAGTCTCTGGTTTTGATTCTGGAAAATTTTGAACTGGGCATGGTTGTGCACACCTGTAATACCAGCACTTAGGAGGCTAAAGCAGCAGATTTGCTTCTAACTCAAGGCAATTTGGGCTGCATAGCGAGACCCCATTTTGAAGGAAGAAAGAGAGGGAGAAAGCCATGTTAGAACACTCCTGTAAGCCCAGTATTCTAGGAGGATGAGTCAGGACAATCACAAGTTAGTGGCTTAGTGAGACCCTGTCTCAGAATTTTACTTACTTACTTACTTACTTACTTACTTACTTACTTATTTATTTATTTATTTATTTATTTATTTAGGTACCAGTGAACTCTGGACCTTGAGTTTGTGAGGCAGGTGGCGGCACTGCTGAGCTAAATCCCTAGCCCTGTCTCAGAATTTTAAAAGGCTGGAGATGTGGCTTAGTGCAAGAGCCTGGTTTGTTTTGTTTTTTCTTGGTACTGGGGATCAAACTCAGGACCTTGCACTTGCTAGGCAGGCAGCAGCACCAGTGAGCTAAATCCCTGGCTTAAGAGCCTGGGTTCAATCCCTAGTATAGTACTACAAATGGATGGATGGATGGATAGATGGATGGCTGACTAGATAGATAGCTCAGTGCAAAAGCCTTATATTCAATCCCAGTGTATTGGGTGCAGGCTAGTTAGATAATAAGAAAATATAGGCCTAAATAAAATTTGATAATGGGAGACAAATTTCATAGCCTTTTCAAAGTGGGATTTAGGTATACTGCTAAGTGGATGTTTCTAATGAGTTTTACCATTAGTCATGTTGTTAATCTTCCACCTTCCCTTCTTGAAAATATTCTTGAACTAATTATGTACAGAAGGCTTGACTGGTCCAGTCCACATTATCTTTTAACTGCTTGAAGATTTCACTGTTCATATGTAAAACATTTGATAGAATAGATTTCTTTTGATTTCCTTCTGGTGTCATCATAATGAATTTAAGGGGAGAAAGGGAAGATAATTTACCCTTTTCACTAATAATTATTATAATCTCCATCTTATGTTGTTGTTGTTCAATGCTGGGTATTGAATTCAGGCCCTATGCATGCTAGGCAGATGGTCTACCACTGAGCTACATCCTCAGACTTGTATCCTCTTTTTTGCTTGTTTTCAGGTGGCGGAACCGCTGAGCTAAATCCCAGCCCTGGTGGTTTTTTGTTTTGGTTTGTTTTTTAATTTAGTTTATTGGTGCTTTTTAAGTATACAGTAGTTACATTTATTATTGGGATCTTGTACCCTTACATGACAGATCTTGGTTCTCACTTTTTCTCCATACCCTTGCCTTCTCTTTACCCCTTCCAACCTCCCCTGTGTACAAAGTCTTTGTTTCCATTTTTTCTTTTCTATTTTTTTCTTTTCCCTTATTTCCTTCCCCTACTCTGCCTGCTTCCCATACATCTTTATCCCTTTTCTTCTTATTTCACATTGTCAGTTATACAATTTGGATCTTGTTTTGGATCTTTTAGTTTTTCACACCAGAGAAACTATTCAGTATTTACACGTTTCTCTTATTTATTTTACTTAAGAGTATGGTCTCAATATGCATTCATTTTCCTCTGAATGACTCTGATTTCTCATTCTTTATGGCTGAGTAGAACTCCATTTTATAGATAAACCACATCGTCTTTATCCAGTCTCCAACTGATGGGCAGCTGGGCTATTTCCAAGTTTTAGCTGTTACAAAACTGTGCCATTATAAACATGGGTGTGCATATATCACTGTGGTATGATTTTTTTAATTCTTGTGGAAAGATACCCAGCAGAGGGATAGGTCAGATGGAACCTCTAGTCCTAGTTCTTTGAGGTACCTCCATATTGAGATTTCCACAATAGTTGGTTGTTAGTTGTTGGTTTTTATTTGTTTGAACTCAAGGCCTGAGCCACATCTCAGTTCTTCTTATCTTGACACAGGTTCTCACTAAGTGACTAAGTTGCCTAGACTGGGCTTGAACTTGAGGTCCTCCCCTCACCCTTCCAGAGTGCTTCAGTAGTGTGCCAGTTTGCTCAGCCTTCATCCTCTTTTGCATACTTCTTTTTCTTTGACCTTTCATCCATAAGAACCTTCCCTTGATTTAAGATTTATTTCTTTTCACAGGTACTTAAGCAAAGAGTGAGTGGAATTTTATAAACACTTTAAACAACTATAAGAGTTGATCTTGAATAACTAAAAGTTGAGTTTTCACAGCACTTCTAGCATATTCTCCACTGGAAGGTCCTGGGAATATGACTTTGGAGTTCTGTCTTCATCTCTCACACACCTTAATAATAGCATGACAGATTTGTCTCAAGTTGAAGCAAAACCTAAAGTATTGTGCATAGCAATTAGTGAAGAAAGATTCTAAATACAAGATAGAATAGTGGTATATGCTCGTATCCCCAGATACTCAGGAAGCTGAACGGGGACGATTATAAGTTCAAAACCAGACTGAGCATACACACACACAAAAATAAAGCCAGGTGTGGTGGCACACGCCTGTAATCCCAGCACTAGGGAGGCTGAGGCAGGAGGATCGTTGTGAGTTTGAGACCAGCCTGGGCTACACACTGAGTTCCATGTCAGTCTCAACTACATAGAGAGACCCTGTCTCAAAAAAATAAAATAAAATAAAACTGAATCCTTGCAGACAGTGGAAGCAGACTACATGGCCTATATTTCATTTAAGGACTTCTCAGGTGTGAGCTTCTCTATGAATATGTTACTAAGTATAATTGTAAAACATTCTGGACATTTTTTATTTGTAAAAATATTAGATCACATGACAGGGATTTAGCTCAGTTGTCCTGCCATCTGTCCTCACAAGCACAAGGTCCTGAGTTCGGTCCCCAGTACCAAAAAAAAAAAAAAAAAAAAAAAAAAAAAATTAGATTGCATATTTATATAACCCCTTCTTTTATGTTCACTGTAATTTTGTAAAAAACTTGATGGGCTGGGGATTTAGCTCAGAGGTGCTATCCCTGCCTGGCAAGCACAAGGTCCTGAGTTTGATTGCTGGTACCAAAAAAAAGAAAAAAACTTAAGTATAATTTTTTTCTACTATTTTTAACCAGATAGATATTTACCTCTGGTGTGTGTGTGTGTGTGTGTGTGTGTGTGTGTGCACTTGCATGCACGCGCATGCATGCAGTATATATTTTGAGCACTCAGTGAATGGGCTAGCAGATTTATAGTTTATTCCCTTACAATCTCTCCAAGTAAGGCTATTTGAGAATTAACAACTTAAATTAGTTGGCTCTTATTTATGAAAATATGTAGGTCTTTGAAAGCTTTATCATTAACATGCATCAAATATTGTGAATGCTATGAAATGTATTCCATTCTCAGTGATGTTTTATAATTGACCAGATGTTGTCTTAATTAAAACATCAGCTTTTTTTTTTTGTACCAGGAATCAAACTCAAGACCTCATGCTTGCCAGGCAGGCACCTTGCCATTGAGCTAAATCGCTGGCCCAAAACACTAACTCTTAAAAGCTATACCATATGTTCACCCTATTGTTGCTCATAGGGTCCAGTCTAGGATGCCACTGAGGGAAAATCAGCTCAGAAGTTCTTCTAATGTGTTTGGCAGTTAAGCTTTTTTAAAATATGACCCAGGGTTACAATCAGATTCCATATAAGAAATTAAAGTCATTGAAATCTAGGATACCTTGAATAAATCATGCAAGAAGAAAGAACTATAGGCCAGACCTGAGATTTAGTTTAGTGGTGCCACTGCCTGCCTCACAAACACAAGGTCCCAAGTTCAATCCCTGGTACCATAAAAAAAAAAAGAAGAAAAGAAAAAACACTGTCCTGTGTCATCTTTATTTGTTACACCTTAGCCAGGACCTTATTTTGCCTGCATCTTCTGCATATAACAAACTAATACATCAGCAGTCATCAATGTTATTAGTCTGAAAATAAAACTGTAAATCTGTCTACTTACTCATGTTCCTAGACTTCCATTTAGCAACTGAAATAACATTGAATTTGGCACCTATTTCTAAAACATTCTTATTGATTTTGTATTTTCTCTTATAAAAAAACAGCTATAGTATTAGGGATGATTTTTTTTTTTTAGTGCAATTGTTTTGCCCTCTACTCCCCTAAAAGGTGTTACTTGTTTCTGATGTAAAATACAATATTTGTTCCTTGATGCATTTCTTTAAAGTAGAGGTTCCACTTTTAATTCAGGTCAGTTGTTCCACATAACTCTTTTTTTCTTCCCCTCTAGACTTCTCCAGAGAACCCTGGGACAGTAGGTGGAGTGCAAAGCTGTATTGTGTGTGCTTCCTGCTTTGTTGTTGTTGTTGTTGTTGTTGTTGCTGCCTCCTGCTCTTTTTTTCCCCTTGCCCCCACTGTGGCTGCCCCTTTCTCTGCCACTAATGCTAGCTAACTATACCCTGCATGTGTTACCATTATGAGGGGCTCATGACCTTTCTCTTCAGTCCTGCACATGTATCATGTTATGTTTCATGTCAAATCCTTAATATCAAGCCAGGCATAGTGTTGTACACCTATAATCTCAGCTCCTAGGCAGGCTGAGGCAGGAGGATTATAAATTTGAGGCCAGCCTGGAAAATGTAGTGAGACCCTATTGCAAAATAAAATAATAAAAAGGGCTGGAAATGTAGTTTAGCTCTCCCTGCATTCAATCCCTAGTATAAAAATAAATAAAATCCTCTTAATATCAATATTGTCACTAAAGCAATGCCATTTATTTATTTTGGTACTGGGGATTGAAATTGGGACCTTGTGCTTGTGAGGCAGGCAGTGGCACCACTGATCTAAATCCCCGGCCCCTCTGTCTATTTTAAATCACCTGTGTCTAATGTTCCACCTCCCCACCCCACCCCCAGCCCTACCACCTTTCAGTGCTCCAAAACTACCTAGAGACCTTTTTGTGAAGGGAGAAAAATCTGATAAACAGATATAAGTAAGGTGTTTACTCCTTCCTGAACAAGTATAATCCTAAAAAAGGCAGAAAGGGGATAATGTTTAACAAAGTGTCTTCATTATTGTGACTCACTAATCATGGAATTCCCTGCTTAGTGATGGTATTGGGAAGACATCCACATTTTATGTGTGTGTGCCTTTGAAAGATTTTGACCTAGTTCTCATTATTTCACTGAAATTTTGCCCTAAAATAATGTTAGCTTGGTTCTTTAGTAATTTATCCATTATGGATTTTGATATTTGATGTCTACATGATGTTAGGAGCCTGACTGTTCTGCATGAATGTTTATCATTGCTCTGGTCCTTTCCAACTACTACAGGAAGAGAGGGAAAGGGAGGTTTTAGAAATTGTGCTGAAATAATAAATTAGCTTTTCTCTTCCCTCTTTCTTCTACACATAACAGAAGAAGCAGACCAGCCCACTTCAGACCCAGCCATGGTTATGGACAGTGTGGAAGCAGGTGACACAACACCTCCCACCAAGAGAAAGAGCAAGTTCTCAGGCTTTGGCAAGATCTTTAAACCCTGGAAATGGAGGAAAAAAAAAAGTAGTGATAAATTTAAAGAGACTTCAGAAGGTGAGACATTAAGACTTTCACACATGTTCCAAGTTAAAGAGTTTCTTTGTTATTTTGGTTTTTTGAGAGGTTCTTGCTATGTAGTTCAGGCTGGCCTTGAACTCATGGCAGTACTTCCTTTATATTTATTTTTTTGTGGTACCAGGGATCGAACTCAGGACCTTGCACTTGGGAGGCAGGCAGTAGCACCACTGAGCTAAATCCCTGGCCCAGTTTTATTCTGTTTTACTTTAGTGTACTTTTTACTTTACACTTTACATTACATTTTATTTCAAGACAGAGTGTTACTAAATTGCCCAGGCAAGATTTGAACCTTCAATTCTTCTGCCTCTGCTTCCAAACTGGCTGGTAATCTAGGTAGGTGCCATCCTGCCTGGTTACTGAATAGATTTTAATCCCATCAAAATAAAAGTTGGGAATGAGGCTACAGAATATAAGGCTCAGTGAATAACCATTTGGCTGCTTAAATTTGAAAGATTGCTGGGCATGGTGATAGACTCCTGTATCCTAGTACTTGAGAAGCTGAGGCAGAAGGATCTCCATGAGTTCAAGGCCAGCCTGGGCTACATAGTGAGTCCCTGTCTCAAAAAATAAAAAAATTTTAAAAACTGAACTCCCTCTTTAAAAAAGGAAGGGCTGGAAAAAACAAATAGTTATAGTGGTAAATGGAGTTTCTGTGCTGTTATAGATCTAAGATGCTTTATACTTTTCTAACTGGTCCATTTTCCATCAACACAGTTTATCCATAAGTTCCTTACTATTGGTTTCAGTTAAGCAGCAATCACCTAAAATTACTTTGCTTTTTTTTTTGTTTTGTTTTTGTTTTTTTTTTTTGGTACTGGGAATCAAAAAACAAAAAGATACTTTCCCTATAGCCCAGGATATGAAAGAAATTGAGGCAGTTTTATTTTCTCTTTTCTTTTTCTTTTTTTGAGACATGGTCTCACTGTGTAGTTCAGACTGCCCTGGAACTCCCTGTGTAGCCCAGACTGGTCTCACACTTACAGTGATCCTCCTGCCTGACCCCCCTGAGTGCTGGGATTACAGGTGTGCACCACCACACCTGGAGTTTTTTGTTTGTTTGTTCATAGTGCTGGGGATGGAACTCAGGGCCTCATACATATTAATCAATTGCTCTACCACTGACTTATGCTCCCAGCCCCAGAAATTAAGCTTTCAAAGTTGAAGTTAGTTTCCCTGTTTTTCCTAAGAATAGAACAAATTTGAACTACTTTATTCTTTTACCTTTTGCTATACAAAGCTAAGAGCAATGTTGACCTTGCAACTGCTACGTTTCTAAGTGCTGTTTTCTTGTTTAATGTTAGTTTTAGAGCGAAAAATATCTGTGCGAAAACCAAGAGAAGAACTAGTTAAAAGAGGTGTTTTGTTAGAAGACCCTGAGCTGGGTGAGTTTGAAATGATTACTATATGTCTGTCTCTGTGCACTTACTTGGTCTTTGATTGGGTCTGAATATCTGAATTTTCTTTCTTTACTTTGTTAATTTCTGTAGTTGGGGTAGAGGGGAGCTTTTTTAAAAGTTCTCTTTCTTCCAATTGTCTGGCTATGTCTTCAACTCTGTAATTAAGTGATTGAGAAGGATCCTTGGAGCGAACACCCTAGTTTCTCTGTAGTACTTACTCAGTTTTGTGACAGCTGCATTAGTAGGTGATATTTCTTTTTATAAAATTAAATTTGTCTCCATGCCCTATTGTTGCCTTAATCTTCTGCTTGTCATAAAGATTATGCTTTGATATTTTAACACTCATCACTGGCTCAATAATGTCAGGACCTTCTCTAATGTATGACTTGTTTTTCCTAGTAGGTGACTTTCATGAAGAAGTTTAGTATAAATGCAAAACTATAGTATCAGAAATTGATTGCATTTCATCTCACACGTGCAGTAACTTACCCCTTTTTCATCGTTGTCATCTTTATCTTTTTTAAGATGTTTGTTTGTTTGTTTGTTTGTTTGATGGTGCTAGGGAATGGATCCAGTGCCTAGCTCATGCTCAGCATGCACACTAATAATTGACTTATACCCCAACCCCTCATTCTTTTTTAATAATAGAAAGTAGTTGCTACATTACTTTAGATTTAGATGTATATTTTTCACTTATTACTTACTTGCCTGAGATTCTTTACTATTTTCAGCCCAAACACTACCTCTGATTCAGACCACCTGAAGAATGGCACTGTCTAGCTTCCTGGTAGGAGGTGGTAGGTCAGGGTAAAAGGGTTGGCTAAGAGAGCTCAATGGACTAGCTCCCTAGAACACTAAGAGATGCTAACATGATGTTACCATAAGTAGTCACTATGGAAAGCAAAGGGCCAGAACACCACTTGTGCCTATTCTCCTGGTACTAGGAGATAAGATAGTTTTTAACCTCTAATCTCAGTGTTTTCAGTTTTCTCTTCCTAAAGAGTCTAGAAATGTCTACAGAAACTGGGAATGTTTGTCCAATTTTGCTCCGTGAAAGAATCTGACTTTTCATAGCAACAGGTATTCATTACAGGTCTTCTCACAGCCTCCAGTCTAATGATCATCCCTGTTGTTTAATTTCAAGGAAAAATCATTGTGTATATCATATTTACCTCTGATCTATTTATTAGTTCCACCTCATGCTCTCCATTCCTACCTTCAATCACCCTCAGCTATTTCTCATGTTTTTGCTCTTGTTTTTGTTTTTGTTTTGTTTTGAGAAAGAGTCTCACTCTGTAGTTCAGGCTGGCCTTGAACTCACAGCAATCCTCCTACCTCAGCTTCCCAAATGTGGAGATTACAGGCGTGCACCACCACACTTAGTTTCTCATTTATATTTGAACAGTAGTTCATTATTGTTTGTCCTGTTCCAGTCTCCTCTCAACTTTCAGAGCTAACCTTCCTTTTTTTTTTTTTTTGATGGAACTCAGGACCTTGTACTTGCAAGGCAGGTGTGGTGCCACTGAGCTAAATCCCTGGCCACAGCTAACCTATAAGGTGGATTGAATCATATCTTCTTCTACTTCTAATTCCATGTGCTCTTATGCTATACAGGATTCAGTCCAAGCTCCTTTATATGGTATTTGACATCTTTCATAGCCTAGCTCTTCACTACCTTTCACTCATAACCATTACTCATATGCATCTGTTGCCCTGCCAGACCAAATGTACCACTTTCTATGATGCTTTCCTTAAAAATATGTGTGTGTTTGTGTGTGTGTGATCCCTTCACACTTATGCATGGTGATTTTTATTTTTCTTATTCATATAGCAAGGTAGTTGGCATATAATAGGCAGTAAGATATTTATTGAAAAAGAAATTTTATATTTCCATTATTACTAGATAGTTCCAAATAACCTAGGTCTAAAAATAAGCTGAAACAGAAAGAGGGAAAGAAGATAAAGAGTGGTTAGAAATCACCGGGTCCTCTTTCTGTCTGACTATGACAGTTCTTCAGTTGGCTGATTCCTCTTTCTCCATGCAGGTGATGAGGATCCAGGAAAGTTAAGTCATGCTGTATTAAAGAATGGCCACACTGCTCCCATAGGGAATGCCAGATCTTCTAGTCCAGACATAGTAGAGGAAGAGCCAGTAAGAATAGCAAGTTTTAGGAATCCTATTCCAGAAGAGGACTCCAAGGAGCAACTCGGTGAGAAACTGGATTCTTGAGTTAAAGAACCATGGACCAATCGTATTCATCCTTTCATCTTCTTCCCTCTCCCTTGTTTTGATTTTGCTTGGTTTGGTTTGGTTTGGTTTTATTGGGTTTTTTATTTCGGTTTTTATTTTTTGTGTGTGAAGTAGGGTCACTCTACGCAGTCCATGATGACTTCAAACTCACTGCAGTCCTCCTGTCTCAGCCTCCCAAGTGCTGGGATTACAGGCGTGCACCACCACACCCAGCATAATCATTCTCTTTAACACCGGTTTGCCAGAGAACAAGAAACAATAAAACCCAAGAGGAATTTAATTCTCCTTTCGAAATTCTTAAGTACTTTCAGCTTTTAGTGGAATTTTCCCCCTCTTATTCGTACATTCATGAAATACTTAAATTTGTGATTCTTTTTTGTTTGTTTGGTTGGTTTTTTTGGTACCAGGGATCAAACTCAGGACCTAGCTCTTGCAAGGCAGGCAGTGAGGCAGGCAGCAGCAACACTGAGCTAAATCCCTGGCCCTCACATTTGTGATTCTCAAGGAGAAAAAAAAAGTCAGATTCTTGTAGGACTTTGTCAGGCTACACATATGTTTTCATTTGCCAAGGAATTTTAATGTGTCTTCTCCAGTAGCCTGGCTCTTATATGAAGAATCACAACCATAATGACCCTGTAATTGACTTTTGTTGAGTATGTTGAATACAGGAACCATAGAGAACTATAGCGTGTAAACTAATTTATAAATTAAGTAGTTGATGAAGCTGACGACAAATCCATAAACGTATTGGTTTTTTTTTATTTCTCATGCTATGCTTTCTTTCTTTCCAGACCACATCTTTTACTACCCAGACTCAACTAGAAGCCAGCCTAATTCTGAAGCAGAGCCTCTTCCTGAGAATGTACCCAAACAACCTCTATTACCCCCCAAAAGACCCTTGTCCTCTTCTAATGAAGCAAGTGAAGGGCAATCAAAGGATGTCACTTCTGGCAGCACAACAATGTCCATCACCTCCACTTCTGTGTCCTCTACCACCATAGCACCTGCTGCCACCACTGCTGCCACAACCCTAACAAAGACTGTTAACTCCTTCGTCACCCCTTCCCCAGCACCCAGGACTCTGCCTGCTGCTCTTGCCAGCACTAACACTACTTCTGCCCCAAACCTTACTCATATCATCCCTGCCAAGCAGCCCCCTGTCCCTCCCCCTAAGCCAGCTCACAGAAATAGCAACCCTGTTATTGGTAAGTTCTCAGGATCTGATGGGTTTTCTTTTGCCTTGGGGTGGTTTTATTGGATAATTGTTACCATATTGATTTGGGGATTTGGGGGGTTTTGGTTTTGGTTTTTTGAGACAGGATCTTGCAATATAGTCTTGAACTCACTGTGTAGTCCAGGCTGGCCCCAAACTTGTGGCAATCCTCCTGCCTCAGCCTCCTGAGTGCTGGGATTATACAATATTAATTTGATCTATGAAAGAATTCCATATCTTATCTTTTCTAATGTCCTCAATGTAGAGAAAAGTTTTGAGAATGAGGCACATTGGGCCTAGTTGTACATGCCTATAATCCTAGCACTCCGGAAGCTGAGGCAAGGTCAACCTGGGCTACATAGTGAGTTTAAGGCCGAGCTGAACTGCATAGCAAGAACCTATCTAAAAAACAAACAAACAAACAAAACTATATATTTGGAAAACTGGGTTAGTAAAGACCATAACAGTTGTATCATTCATGGAGTTATCTGTGGTACTTAACTGAAAAAATTAGAATAATGCCACAAGGTATTATAATAAGCAAGGCAAACTTGCCAACTAAAAAGTTTTTTTTTTTTTAAATTACTTAGAACTACCAATTCCTTCTTTAAGCATAAGCAAGACTAGAAGGTAAGAAGATTATTTTATGGATGCCTATGTAACTTGTGAATTAGTGCCTACCTAGTATAGTATCTTCATGGGAACTGCAAAATGTATTATTTAAATTGTCCTGATAAAATCATGTTTTATCTTGGGAGGGTTAAGAATGCCACCCTTGTATTAAAATAAGTGGTGATAAAGCAGAGGAGGTAATCCATATATTTTGGGCTTAGTAAATTTTTTATATGTATCTAAAGTCTTGTTTAGGTCTATTTTCCTTTACATAAATGCATACTTTCTTAGAGGAATCTTCAAGGAAGGGAAAGCAAGAGGGATTTAATGAGTGCTTCAGAACTAATGAAAATACAATTTTCAGGGAAAATACTAGGTTTCTATTGCCTAACATCCTTGTTATTGATTGAATGTTTGAAAAAAGCATGTTCATTAAATATTTCATACTATATGACCGAGTTGGGTAGAGTGATCAGAACTTTGAAAAACAAGCTTAGAATATACCGTATGACAGGTTAGAGTAGCTTGATAAAAACAGGATGAACATTGTTATTGTTATAGCTACTTTGAGTAGATGATGTCATATTGACTTACCTCTAAGGAACTTGAGGAGCTTCATACACTAAAACCAATTTTATCTGGTATATAGAAGAGCAATTAGGACATGAAGACACTGTGACTCATTCAGAGTTGTAGGAAGTGAGGCAAACTCAACTCTCATGTCCAGACCTCTGTTCTCTACTCTCCTGTTCGAAAACTGTTTTCTGGACTGGTGCTCATCAGGATCACTCCTAGAAGGTTTATTAAAACATGTATTTCCAGACTTGCCTCTAGACTTTCTGATCCCTGTTTAAGTCTTGGTAGGATGGAAAATCTATGTTCTGTAGGTCCCCAAATAATGCCAGTGCTGTTTTCCAGGGACCATGTGTTAAGACTCCTTCTCTAGACCAGTGGTGTTCCTCTCTTTTAGGTTAAGGCAACATTTAAAACAGTGTATGTATGATTCCCGGGAGTAAATGCAGAAGCTACTCCTGACCTTTGATGAATTAATAGCCCAAAGCAGTAGACAGGTTCTCAGCAGAAGAAAAATTAATTAATTCAGAATTCTTATTAAAATTAGATTGATTTAAAGAATTATACCTTATTCATAAATTATGACCATCCTAATTCCTTGGTGCTAAAATGCCATTTCTTTCACAAAAGGATTATGATCATAAATTGTTTACTTAATATCAGTCCTTATCTGGACATCTTTAAAAGTGGCAATTTGAGGTTAGTCAGTATTTTTTTAATAAAATAAAATTTATTTTTAAAAAAGGGGCGTGCAGAGATGTAGCTCATTGGTTCCATGCCTGGGGGGTGGGGTTGGTTGGTTGGTTGAGACAAAGTCTCTTTATGTAGCCCAGGCTGACCTCAAACTTGTGATTCTCCTTACTTAGCCTCCTGAGTGCTGAACAACTTTTTAAAAGTTGTATTGGTCTTTGAAGTACAAACATTTGGAAACACTGCTTGAGAAATGCTACAGTCTTCCACAGGCATAATATGCAGTGTTAAAAATAAGGAAGGATTGGGCTGGGGATTTAGCTGAGTGGCACCACACCTGCCTCGCAAGCACAAGGTCCTGAGTTCGATCCCAGTACCAAAAAAAATTAATAAGGAAGGACTGCCACATATAGCTGCACAGGTGAAGGAAATTTGTAATCTGTCCCAGAAACCCTTTAGCATGTTTCTCAAGAACTTGTTCAAAAGTTAAAGTATTAAGCTGGGCATGGTGGCGCATGCCTGTAACCCTAACACTGGGGGTGCGGGCTGAGGCAGGAGGATCGCTGTGAGTTCAAGGCCAGCCTGGGCTATATAGAGAGTTCCAGCTCAGTCTGAACTTACATAGTAAGACCCTGTCTCAAAAAACAAAACAACAAAAAAAGTTAAAGTATTAAAATAAGGTCTTGTCGGGTAAATTTGTTTGTTTGTTTGTTTTTTGCTGAGCTATGGGTTGAACTCAGGGCCTTCCCAGTCCTAGACAAATACTGTAACATTGAAGTACATCTCCAGCCCTCAGGAGTGAGTTCTGTTTTGATAGAATAGCTACCTGCTATTTTAGAAAAGTAGCAAAAATCTTGTCAACCCAAAAATATCTCTTTCATTCATCTAAAATTCATAAAATTTTTTCTATCTTTATATACTGTAATTTTCTAGAATGTCCTTATTAAAATGTACTTATGGGCTGGGGATGTAGTTCAGTGTTAGAGTGCTCCTGGGTTCAATCCTGATTAGTAAGAAAAATTAAAAACTAAACTGGGGCCTGAGGATGTAGTAGCTCAGTGGTACTACAACCTGCCTGGCAAGTACAAGGCCCTAAGTTTAATTCCTATTACTGGCAAAAAAATAGACCTGGAAGTGTGTCTTAGTGGGACAGCATTTGCCTGTCATGGACAAAACCCTAGATTCAATCCCCAGTACTGGAAAAAAAAAAAAAGATTAAATTTTTTACTTTGAATGGTCCCAATGAAATAGTATTGGTTTGACAAATAATGTTTTATTTTAGGGACACTTATAAAACCCACTTAAGGATCCTGGAGGGAACTAAAATTATTTGGCTAGATGACTAGAAGTTGGTGATCAAGTGAATGTTCTTTAATTATTTTGCAGTGTTAGCCACCTCTTACATGTCTTTTGGAACCCTCCAAAAGAGTGACTTTGCTGGATCAACACCTGAGTCACTGTCGGCTTTGGAAACATTGATAAGAACGTATACTGTCTTAATACAGGCAAAGACTTCATATCTAAGAAACTTACATTGAAAGTCAGGCATAGTGGCGCACACCTGTAATCCCAGTCCTCTGGGAAGCTGCAATAGGAGGATCACAAGTTTGAGCCCTGCCTGGACAAGTTATCGAAACTTTGTCTCAAAATAAAGGCCTGGGAGGGCCCGGGATTTAGCTCAGTGGTGCCGCCACCTGCCTTGCAAGCGCAAAAACTGGAGTTCAATCCCCAGTACCAAAAAAAAAAAAAAGGTCTGGGGATATAGTTCAGTGTGAAAACTATAAGTTCAGCCCCAGTAAAACTAATAACAGTAAAACTTTTAGAGGTTGTTTGTTTGTTTGAGACAGAATCTCACTATGAGATTGTTCAGGCTGGCCATGAGCTCACTGTGTAGCCTAAGCTGGCCTGGAAGTCATGACCATCTTCCTGACCCTCCCTTCCAAGTGCTGGGATTACTGGCATGGGCCACCAGCGCCAATAAAGCTTATATTAAACCTTATATTGAGGGCCTACTGTACACAGCTCTGTGGATATGCTGATGGAGAAAAGGATTGATCTGCCATCAGGGATCCCACAGAGTAATGAGGAATGAACATAGGAGCACAAAGAGATGATTGGAAGTATGCAGACTAATAAAGATCAGAGACAGTGGGTTCCAGAGGATGTAGTGATAGAGATTGGATACCAGCTGAGTCCATGCCAGTTTGTAGCCTAATCTGGGGCTAATTACCTAACTTCTGGAGCATCAGAAACTGAAAATTGGTCAAAATAGTACTTTGTTTTCCTGTTGCCTCAGATGATACAAGGAAATTATGAGGTCAAGGGTAGAAAGGCCCTTTCATTTTTTTCAAAAGGCTTTGCGTTTGCTATAAGAATTCAAGATGTTTTTCCTGTAATTTTGTAATGCAGAGCTGAGATACGTAGTTATCCATTTGGTAAGAATGCCTAATAATGTTTGGTTTTTTTTTCTTTTTATTGAGTTTATTGGTACAATCTAGGTAAACTATACAGTTGTTTAGCCCTTTACTTCCTATTTCACATTATTAATTATCTCATTAGGATCCTGTGTACTATTATAGTTTTTCACACAAAAGAAATTATTCGGTATTTCAGTTAAAGAAATCTCTGTATGAACATTAAAAATAGGGAATCCTAAAATAAAACTAAAAAGGAAAGTAAAAGAGAAAAGGCAATGATGTAACATTAAAATAATCCTTAATTCTGGAGATGAAAATGGTCCCTGAACAACTTTAAGTTGCTTCTTGCTCTTATAGTCTTATCTTATTTTTTTTCATTATTTAGAGAATAGTTTATTAGTTTCTGTAATCAAACCCACGTAGATATGACCTTACATATTTAGTACAATGTGTTACCCCTGTCCTAATAATGTTTTAATTGCTATCTGAATATTTAAATTTCTTAACGGAGTATTGTTACACATGAGAATTTATCAGCTTTTTTCTGTATTTATATTAACTTTATACCAACATCAAGTTATAAAGTTGTTATATCAGTGAAACAGGATACTTATCAGCGTTTTCCTGCCCATATAACCATTAGATCTTCTGTAAATTTTGTTTTGGGAGTAAGAGATACAGGAATGGCAAAGTCATGAAAGTATGTAATTTACTTAAAAGATCAGGACTGAGCTGTAACTTTAGGCTTCAGCTTGCCTCTCAGAGCATTTTAAAGCCATATTAAATTGACATGTTGCTCTCTCTTCCAGCTGAACTGTCCCAAGCAATAAACAGCGGTACGTTGTTATCAAAACCATCCCCACCCTTACCACCTAAAAGAGGCATTCCAACAACCCTGGTATCCACGTCTGAGTCTGCTGCTGCCTTCACTACAAAAACACCAAGTGATCAAAAAGAGAAGGGCACCTGCTCTCTGGGCTTCGAACTGCTGCCAGCAGTCCCACCTCCATCCCCATCCCCACCACTGCCGCCTCATATACCTCCGGAGCCTCCACAATCCCCTCCATTCCCTGATAAGACTTTGCAAGTTGTGCCAGAAGTTGAAATTGTGCCTTCCTTAGATCTGCCCCAGGAGGTTCCCCAGCAGGAAGATCAGAAAAAAGAAGTCCCCAAGAGGATTCTGGACCAGAGCTGTGGAGATCCCCACATACCCCCTAGGCTACCCCCACTCCCACTACATGTTCGAATTCAGCAGGCCTTGAGCAGCCCTCTTCCCATGACTCCTCCCTTGGAGGGCTCTCACAGAGCTCATTCGTTGCTCTTTGAGAATACTGACGACTTTTATGAGGACAGCAATACCCTGGGTCGTACCAGATCACTTCCCATCACTATTGAAATGCTGAAAGTGTGAGTGCTTTTAAAGCTTGCCTCTTGCTTCTCCTTTACTTTAGGTAGCCCTGCTTAGAAAAAAATTACTTATAAAAATAAAATGTGAATAAATTTAAAGGACAAAGAGTATTCTGCCAAAGCAATCAGTTTTAGAATCAGACTTTTTTTTTCCCTCTGTACCAGGACCTTGCACTTGTGCTATATCCCCAGGTCTGTCGGACTCTTTTTTTTTTTTAAACCCTGCTGATTCTGTAAGCTTTGTTTGTGAGATGGAGAGTTCCAAAATAACATAAAAATTATATGTTTATGTATATAAAAATTAAAGCCACTAGTTTTATATAAGAATAGCAGTGTTATAAAGTGCTTAAGAGCCAGAGCCTTGTAATAAGCCAGTTCTGCACTCAAACCCCAGCTGTACCACTTGTAGTGTATAGTAGCACTGTATGGTGGTGTATGTTAGCCTTTGTTTTAGGTTACTTCATCTGTAAATGGAAAGAGAATCTTTAGAGGCTTGTGAGAATAAAATTAGATAAATTCTGGAAAGCACCTAATAACTGGTAGAACTGGGATTTGTACCCAGAGCTCTTTAGATTAATAGGTGCTTAAAAGTTTCTTAGCAAGATATTTAGTTTTGGGAAGGATTTGTAAGTTATTTTGTTAATGGATTTTGCCATTGATATTTCAATCCTTTGTCTTGGAAATCAGTTATCCTCTAGTGTCTGAAACATAATTATGTTAACTTGTTAGTTCAGACGATGAAGAAGAGGAGCAAACTTGCCCATTGCCATTTGTTGAAGACGTGACATCTACTACCTCAGTCATTCCTAAACTACCACAGTGTCTGCAGGAGGAAAAGGAGAGTGACTCAGATTCAGAGGGTCCCATTCAGTACCGAGATGAAGAGGATGAAGATGAAAGCCATCAAAGTAAGAAAGGGAAGGAAAAGCAAGAGAACTTTTTTGCAGAAAAAGCTATTTACTGGTCTTAGCAGAATGAATAAAAAGAGACACCTTTCCTTGAGTCATCTGATTCATTGTTCTCAAAAGCCATTGTAAAGGACTCCTTGTCCCCACTATCATCCCTTTGTTAAAACTAATGAGAGAGTGCCAAGTACCTTGAGTCATTCGGGTTTTTATTTGTTGGCTTTTTATTTTAAAACTATTCACCCGGGGGATAGGAATGAAGCTTAGTAGTAGTAGAGCTTGTTTTTAGCCTGCCCTAGATTCATTTGGGAAGGAAAGGAGCTCACCTTAAAATATTAGACCATATTGCCAGGTGTGGTGATGCACACCTGGTGCTGGAATCCCAGCACTCTATGGGAGCCTGAGACAGGAGGATCGCCACTAATTCAAGGCCAGCCTGAACTATAGAGCGAGACCATATGAAGTACGACAATATGAAGTAGAGAAAAACTGGCATATGTGTTAAGGTAGAAAGACAAAAATTATGTATTCCTTCCATCTAATGACAAAGGAATAAGACAAAGTAAAAAATGTTCTTATTGTAATAGGATAAAGGGAAAAAATGTGTTCATATCCACAAATTGTTGTAAATAATGGAATTCTGCTTCCTAAATGTGGAAAAACAGCTTTAAAAACAGATTAAGTACCAGCATTTGGAAAGCTGAGGGAATAAGATTGCGAATTTGAGGCCAGCCTGGGCTATGTAGTGTGACCCTGCCTCAAAAAAAAAAACAAACAAAAAATGAACAATAGAAGCATGTTCCTGTCGTCCCAGCTCCTCAGCAGTCAAAGGCCAGAGAATCATTTAACCTCAGGAAGTAAAGATGAGCCTCAACAATGTAGAGACCCCAGTCAGTCAATCAATTAGCAAGTTGAATGCAAGATATTTTAGTGTAAAAGCTGATTTTTTTTTTTTTTTGAGACAGGGTCTTGCTGTATTGTTCAGGCTGGCTTTGAACTCACTATGTAGTCCAAGCTGGCCTCAAACTCACAGTGATCCTCCTGCCTCAGCCTCCCAAGTGCTGCTACAATAGGTTTTCACCACCACGCCTGGCAAGTATGAAAGCTGTTATGTTTTAATTCAGAGAACTGCCTTATGCTTATCCTCTCTCCTCTGACAACTGTTACTAGGGAGTAAAAGTACAGGGCTGGTAGAAGTGAGAAGGTCTCTTTTGCCCATTGGAGCAAAATAGGCAAATGATTGATTCTTTTTTGGAACCAGGGATTGAACTCAGGTCCTTGCGCTTGCTAGGCATGTGGCGGAACCACTGAGCTAAATTAAATCCCTGGCTCTGAAATTATTTTTAGATGTCTTTAACCTGACCTCTTCTGTATTCGCTTGGATCATTTGAAGGCAAATGGGAAGCTAGGAGTTGTTCGACCAGACTCTTGCCTGCTCCACATGAGGTTGAGCTTTTGGCTTCACGCGTCTCCCATTTTTTTCCTCATCTCATACAAAGGTACCCTGGCCAACAAAGTGAAGAGGAAAGACACATTGGCAATGAAGTTGAACCACAGGCCCAGTGATACAGAGTCGAATTTGAATTCTTGGCCTCATAAAAGCAAGGAAGAGTGGAACGAAATACGGCACCAGATTGGGAACACACTGATCCGGTAGGCTTTTGTTTAGATTAACTGGATTTGGTTTGATTATGCTGATGTGTGTGTTAGATGCTTACTTTGTGGTGGAACATGCATTTATCCTTTTTATTTTTCAGTGTAATTTTTAAAAATACATATTGGACACAATTGGATATCCTTTATAAATTTGAAAATTAAGGAATTATCTTTAAACCATAGATAAAACATTAGGTTTTACAACAGTTGCTAAAGAAGTCAGGGTATTTTTTAAGGCAGCTACTTTTATCATTTTTTTTTACCCACTTGTTAAAGCATGAAGAGCTAACCCAATTTATCACACAGTTTACATGTGAAATATTCCATGTAACAGCTCCCTTTCAAAATATTAGTATATTTTTCAAGTCAACTAGAACAGAAATTATAGAAAAACTAAATACAGGGCAGCTTCCTAAATATTAAATAGGTCCTTTAAGTGTCCAGGTAGATAGACAGGTATTTGCCTGGCGAAGATAATTTCTTCCAATAGAGAAAGGATAAGAAGGTAGAACTCTTTGATGGGTCGCTACAAAATAACTCTTGGATGGGTCTCTAGAGACAAGTTTGGCCCCTTGTCTTCCAGTAGACACCTTTTGGATCCTGAAATCATTCTCTGTGGCTTGTTTTGTTTTTGTTGTTGTTTTGGTATCAGGGATCAAACTCTGGACCTTGCACTTGTGAGGCAGGTGGCACCACTGAGCTAAATCCCTGTCCCATCTCTGTGACTTCTTTACTTTAACATAATGGCCAATCTGTATGACCTTTGTGCTCTGACTACTGTTGAAATTATGGGTGATTGGAAAGAGGGGAAGTAGAGGCCTCTCCTTGCTCTGACAGTGTCCATAACTCAGAGGTCACCAATCTAGAAGTCAGATTGGTAGATATAATTGTGGATGTGATACCAAAAAGTCTTTGTGGGGAAGGTGGTAGGGCTGGCCTTTACTTTTTTTTTTTTTTTTTAATTTTGGTACCAGGTATCGAACTTGGGTCCTTGAGTTTGCGAGGCAGGCGGTGGCACCACTGAGCTAAAACCCTGGCCCACATATATATTTATTTATTCATTCATTCACTTTATTTAAAAAAATTTCAACCTACAGAAAAGTTGAAAAATAAATACCTTTCACCTAAAAGGGTTAACATTTCCATATTTGCTTTTTTCCATATTTGGTTATTGTGCTCACTTTTTCTGTGAATGTATACTTTTATACATTCTTTTCTTTTTTCCTAAGGCCATCTGAAAATAAATTGTAAACATTGCAATTCTTTTTTTTTTGTACCAGGGATCAAACTCAGGACCTTGCCCTTGTGAGGCAGGCACAGTTTTTGTTTTTGTTTTTTTTCCTTTTCAGTACTGGAGATTGAACTCAAGACTTTGCACTGGCAAGCCAGGAGTAGCAGCACCACTGAGCTAAGTCCCTGACTCCCTCAACACTGTTATTCTTTTTTTTTTTTTAACCCATTAAGTTTATTGGTACATTTAAAACAAACAATACAGTTACTTTATCATTGGGATCTTGTACCTACACCGTAATTCTTTACGCCTAAGTACTTCAGAATGTGATTTTTTTGGTACCAGGGATCAAACTCAGGACCTTGTACTTGCACGGCAGGTAGAGGCAACACTGAACTAAATCCCAGTCAGCATGTGATCTTGTTACAAAGACATTCTCTTACATACCCACAGCTTACTCACCAAATTCAGGAAATATAACATCAATACAATGTTTTATTTATTTTATTTATTTATTTATTTTTTTTGGTACCAGAAATTGAACTCAGGTCCTTGCTCTTACAAGGCAGACCACCAAACCGTTGAGCTAAATCCCCGGCCCCAATACAATGTTTTTATTTAGTATACTGTCTATATTCAATTTCATGAAACATCCCAATAATATCTAGTTTTTGTTGTTGGTTTTACAGTAGTGGGGATTGAACCCAGCCTCACACATGCTAGGCGAGCCCTCTGCCACTGAGTAACATCCCCAGCCCTTTTGGGGTTTTTTTTGGTTTGTTTGGTTTTTGAGACACAGTCTTCATAAATAGCATAAACTGGCCTAGAACTCAAAATGTTTCTACCTCAGCTTCCCAAGGCCTGGGATTACAAGGATGTGCCACTCTGACCCATTTTTATTTTATTTTTGTGGGATTTTTAAAAATAATATGATGTTGGGACCAGGGATTTAACTCAGTGGTTCTGCCACCTACCTCTCAAGTGTAAGGACCTGAGTTCTATCCCCAGTACAATAATAATAATAATAATAATAATGATAATGATATGTGAGGATTAGTGACATTTTCCCACATTTTTTCATTAGTACCTATTGGTTTTATAGATTAATAGATTTCATTTTGGCACAAAACGTGCACATATATACTTTTACCACCTCTACCCCCATCCGCATCACCTTCCTTGACGACCCCCCAATTTAGGGTTTCATTGTGTATGATTGTTTTTGTTTTTTTAAGACAGGGTCTTTCCTGGTACCCCAGGCTGACCTGGACTTCACTCTGTATTCCCAGGCTAATCTTTTGTTTGGCTTTGGTTTTTGTTTGTTTGGTTGGTTTTTGGTTTGTTTGTTTGTACTGGGGATGAAACTTGCAGTGGCACCACTGAGCTAAATCCCTGGCCCTGTTTTGCTTTTTTTTTTAATTTTCAGAGATCAGGCTCTTGCTATACAGCCTAGGCTGACCTCGAACTCACAGCTACCACCTGCCTCAGCCTCTCAAGTACTGGGATCAGTCAGGCGTTGTAGCATGTGCCTGTAATCCCAGCACTCAGGAGGCTGAGGCAGGAGGATCACTGTGAGTTTGAGACCAGCCTGGGCTACATAGTGAGTTCCAGGTCAGTCTCAACTACATAGTGAGACCTTGTCTCAAAAAAAATCAAGTACTGGGATCATAGGTATGTGCATCACACCCAACTTAATCCTACTTAATCCAACTTAATTTTGAACTCATTATTCTCTTGCCTCTGCTTCTTGAATGCTGGGATTATAGTTGTGTGAGAAAACAATCAGCAAGTCTGACCTATTTTGTGGCAATAACTCAGAACTAGAACTAGAATCTTGCTTGCTCTATGTCATATCTGTATTAGAACTTTCAATGTGAAAATTGTTTCATAAATAATCAGAAAAGTGAGCTGGATGTGGTGTCATGCCCTTGTAATCCTAGCACTCTAGAGGAGGATCACTATAAATTCAAAGTCAGTCTTGGCTACAGAGTGAGTTCAAGGCGAGCCTGAACTACATAGCGAGACTTTGTCCTAAGTAATCAATAATAATAATCCGAAAAGTAAATAAAATATATTTGAAAAAATTTGGGGGGATTAATACAGACTATGACCCACAAAACCTTATAAACATGATTAAGAAGTGTTTTGTTTTCTGAGACAAAGTCTCGTATATAGTTCAGGCTGGCCTTGAGTTGTGTAGCCCACGCTGACCTCGAACTGGAGTCACTCCTCCTGACTGAGCTCCCAAGTGCTGCAATTACAGGTGTGCACAATGCCAAGCTCTATAGACCAATTTCACATAAATACCCTTTTTTATCTCCTATAGGCGACTGAGTCAAAGACCTACACCAGAAGAACTGGAACAACGCAATATACTGCAACGTGAGTTCAGCTAGGGAAGTCAAGTTTACAGACTTTCTTTGCATACAATTTCCATATACATAAAAGAAAAATGAAAAATTTGCTGTAAGGACCAAGGGAAGAGTGTTCCAGCCAAGGGAGAATATCCTTTCCTGAAGGGAATGGAATTCTCCCAAGCTTCCTGTGGAAGATGTTATCAGGGTATTGTTTAGGATACTCTGATAATCCAGAAAATTTTGTTTTAAAGTTCTCATAGTATTCTGGGACTGCCTTGGGCATTTCAGAGCATTTGACAATATATGGGATGTATAACCCACTTTTGTTTGTCTTTGGGTACCAGTGTAAGTCCCAGTGTCATAATCTTTATCCTGCTGTTATTTCTTCTTCCCAAGTGCTGGGATTATAGGCATGTGCTCAAGGGCTCTTAGACTTTCTTGTCTCTACAGCCACCAAATTCAACCCTGTACTTAATTTGTTGTCTATGTTCATAAATAATTTCCAGAGATATTGTCCTAGTACCAATTTGATGTGTTTTTCCAAAAGTTAATGTGATGTTTGGCCTTAAAAAATACCTCAGTGGTGGGCCGGGGATTTAGCTCAGTGGTTCCGCCCCCTGCCTTGCAAGTACAAGGTTCCCAGTTTGATCCCCAGTACCAAAAACTCCTCAGTGGAGGCTGGGGATTTAGCTCAGCGGTACCATGCCTTCATGGCACTCAAAAGGTCCTGAGTTCAATCCCCTGTACCAGGAAAAAGAAAAGAAAAAAAAAAAAACCTCCTCATTGAAGAGCTTTAGGTGTCTCTGGAATTGTTTGTATGCATACTGAGTCTACCCATTCCATTGCTTGCTCTCTTAGCACTATCTGGATGTGCACAACTTAGTGAATTTTAACATGCAAGTGCCTTAGAGACACATTGTGTGAAACTTGGTGTGATCTCCATTGTCCATTCTTATAAGTCACTCTTGAGCAATACTCTGTAAACTTTTTCTTAAAGAACACGTAGTAAATATTTGCAGCTTGACAGACCAGGAAGCAAATGTAAAGACTATTGTAGGTAGTTATAAAACTGTATAGGGGTGGGGTAAAAAAATATAAAAATAAAACTATTTACAGTCTCAACTACATAGTGAAACCCTGTCTCAAAAAAACCAAAAAGAAAATAATAATAATAATAATAAATAAATAAAACTGTTTAAAAATTTAAGAGACTTCTTAGCTTCACAGGCAGTATATAGGTACCAAATTGGACCCATAAGAAACAGCTATGCTGTTAATACTAAAATGTTTATTATTCAAATTGCCATTTTGAAGTAGTATTATTTTTTCTGTCAACTGTAGCTAAAAACGAAGCTGATCGTCAGGCAGAAAAACGAGAGATTAAACGTCGGCTTACTAGAAAGGTACTGCTTTCTATTTTCTTTTTATTTCAGTCTGTCTACTGATTATATGTCTTGTATATAAGTCTTGTATTTGGATGATCTGTTTGATTAGAAATAAATGAATTTGGGCCGGGCGTGGAGGCACATGCCTGTAGTCCTGGCACTCAGGAGGCTGAGGCAGGAACGAGTTCAAGACCAGCCTGGGCTACATAGTGAATTCCAGGTCAGTCTCAACTACATAGTGAGACCTTGTCTCAAAAAAAAAAAACAAAAAAAAGAAAGAAAGAAATTAACAGGGGTGTAGCTCAGTGGCATTGCACCTGCCTTGTAAGCACAAGGTCCCGAGTTCAATATCCGGTACAAAAAAAAAAAAGAAAAGAAATAAATGAACTTGATTTATGGTGCCATCAATTGCTATGAAAATAAATATGTGTAGAAAGTTATATATTATCAAGAGCTTTTTTCTTCCTGTCTTTCATGAAAGAGGATTGGGGTTTTTTGGGTTTTTTGGTGTTGTTGTTGTTTTTGAGACAGGGTCTCACTGTGTACCCCAGACTGGTCTTAAACTCATGTTGATCCTCCTGCTTCAGTCTCCTGAGTGCTAGGATTATAACCATGCCTGGCTTCATTTTTGTTGTTGTTGTTGTTGTTTGTTTTTTGGTACCAGGGATTGAACTCAGGTCCTTGTGCTTGCAAGGCAGGTGGCAGAACCACTGAGCTATATCCCTGGCCCTCATTTTTAATATTTTTAAAAGGCTTGGCACAAAAAGGTGTTTGATAAATTTTTACCTTTTATTTCATAGACCTAGGATTTTGATATAGACTTTGCCGGCATTGTGGCACAAGCCTGTAATCCGATCACTAAGGAGGCTAAGGCAGAAAGATCACCATGAGTTCAAAGCTAGCCTGAACTACATAGCAAGACCCTGTCTCAAAAAACAAAAACACAAAACAAAAAAAACTTGGTATTATTTCTTTGTTTTGAAGTTTTGAGGAAGTTTTTGTTTTGCTTTGGTTTGTTTTTGTTTTTGTTTTCCCTCTGGTGCTGGGGATCAAACTCAGGGCCTTGCACATGGGAGGCACTGTGTCATTTAGCTACACCCCTAACCCTGTAAAACTTCTTGATGTGTAGAGAAAATAACAGGAGGGGTATGGAATATTCAATAGTTTTGCAAAACAAACTGGTTATTTTCTAATCTGTGAAAAAATTGAAATAACCCTAACTAATACTTAAAAGTATGAAAAACAATGATTTTCTGCCTTGGTTCTAGATCAGTTAGGGTAGAACCTTTTCTGTGCTTGACCTGTGTTATCACTGAGATTAATCCCTTTCTTTTTTCTTTCTCACCAAAAGTTTCAAATTGCCTCCTATAGATTTTGTGGTCTTGTCTGAGTTTTTTTTTTTTTTTTTTTTTTCCCCTGAGTTTCATAACCTTACAAGAATCCCCAGAAAAGATCTAGATACTCTTTTCTTGATTTATCCTACTTCCTTTTTTTGGAATGAAGTGATTATACTTGATAATTAGAGGCCATGGCTGGACTTCATGACTTCGTGTTGAGCAGGTTACCTGATTGTATGACCTTATCATAACTTGCTACCTATCTTGGGCACTACTGATGTTGAAATAAAATGTGTAAGAGTTCTACTACCCAGCTGGGCCTGATGGCACAAGTCAGGGGTGATGGTGCACACCTGTGATCTTAGCACTTGGGAGGCTGAGGCAGGAGGATCACCATGAATTCAGGCCAGCCTGGATGACATAGTAAGTTCAGGCCCACCTGAACATCAAGACCCTATCTCAAAACAAACAAGGGCCAGAGATTAAGCTCAGTGGTGAGTTCAATCCCCTATACCAACAAACAAACAAATAAAAAGGTTTTACTACTCAAAATGTGGGCCTTGGACCAAGAGCATCAGCACCTCCTAGGAGTTTTTAAGACATACTTACCGGGCCAGAAATTTAGCTCAGTGGTGCTGCCACCTGCCTGGCAAGCACACCACATTTTATTCATTTATTCATTCACTCGTTCTTTTTTTTTTGGTACTGGGGAACTGAACTCAGGCCCTAATGCTTTCGAGGTAGGCTGAACTACTGAGCTAAATCCCAGGCCCTCAATTTTTCGTTTTTATTGCTAAGGATTGAACTCAAGAGTCTTAAACATCGAAAGTTTACTCACTGCCTCTGAGCCCAGGCCAGAATCTAAATTTTAACCAGATCTGCAGGTGATTTGTAGGTATATTAAAATTTGAGAAGCACTAAATTATAGCAGTAGTTCTCCGTCATTTTGTTTTGTTTTGTTTTCAGTTTTAACCTTGCAGTGAAGTGCTAAAAAATAAAGATGAGATAAGACAAAAATCTCTTAATACCCAGAAATCTCTGGGGATGGGACCCAGGAACTAATTATGGTTAAAGACCCAAGGGATTGCAGTGTTCAGTGAAGATTAAAAGTAATTTCAGTGAATGATTGGTGGCCAATTCCTGGCATGATGAGCTAAGAGGTTCCCTTTCTTTCAGCTTAGTCAAAGGCCAACTGTGGCTGAACTCCTTGCCCGGAAGATTCTGAGATTTAATGAATATGTGGAGGTAACAGATGCTCAAGACTATGACCGACGAGCTGACAAACCTTGGACGAAACTGACCCCTGCTGACAAGGTTACTATGAAATGCTTATGTATTCTCTCTCCTTTTCCTCCTCCTCTTCCTCCTTTTCTTCTTCCCTCTTTCCACCCTCCCTCTCTTTCTACTTTTCTTTGAACAATACATGATCCTGGCTAGAAAGGGAACCATAAACAAAGCTTCTAGTTTTTGTTTTGTTTTGTTTTTTGTACTGGGGATTAAACTCTGGACCTTGTGCTTACAAGGCAGGTGGTGGAACCACTGAGCTAAATCCCTGGCCCTAAGCTTCTGGTTTTGATATGATGTTAAGTTTCAAGTCAGTATGCAAAATGCCATGTTATACAACCAAACCTTTTACTAATAACTCTACTACCAACCCACTGAAAATAAAAAGCTATATTGTAAAGTAAAATAACTTGAAGGAAGGCTGGGCATGTTGGTACACACCTATAGTCCTAGCACTCGGGAGACTGAGGCAGGAGTATCACCGTGAGTTTGAGGACAACCTGTACTACAAAGTAACTTCAAGGCCAGCCTGAAGTACATAGAGAAAAAAGAGGCCAGGGATGTAGCTCAATGAGGCACTGCACCTGCATGGCAAACACAAGGTCCTGAGTTCAATTCCGAGTATAGAAAAAAAAAAAAAACTACAAGCAAATAAAACACATTTTGGGGTTTTGGGTGGGCTTTTCAGGGATTTTTTTGTTGCTCTTTGGTTGGTTTTGAGATAGAGTCTCACTATGTAATTCAGGCTGACCTTGAACTCATTATGTAGCCCAGGCAGGCTTCAAACTTGTGGTGATCCTCCTGCCTCAGCATCTTGATAGCTGAGATTATTTTGTCTTTCTTTTTGAAACAGAGTCTCACTAAGTTGCTAAGTTACCCAGGCTGGGCTTGAATTTGCAATCCTCCTGCCACTACTGCCATCATGCCCAGCTCAGGTTTGTTTTTTGTTTGGTTTTATTTTGTTTTTTGTAGTGCTGGGGATCAAAACTAGGGCTTCATATACATTAGGGCAATGCTCTACCAGCTGAGCTATATTGCCTCTCTGTTTTTTGTTGTTTTGAGACAGGGTCTCAATATGTAGTCCAGGCTGGGCTCAAATTCTTGCCATTTTTCCTACCTCAGCCTCCCTAGTGCTGAGATTATAGGTATGCATCACCACACCTAGCATAAAACTTTTTTTTTTTCAACTGTTCAATTTTTATAGAACATGTTAAAAATGAGGTTTATATAGGGCCAGGGATTTAGTTCAGTGGCACCACGCCTGCCTTGCAAGCACAAGGTCCTGAGTTCAATCTCCAGTACCACCCCCCCATTAGGTTTACTTAAAAAGACCAAAGCCCATGTCATCATCAGATTCCTCAGATACTTCTTTGTTTCCACTTTCTTCTCAGCTGGGGCAGTAGCATTGGAGAGGCAGGGCCTCCTGCAGGTGCAGAATCAGCTGCAGGAACAGGTTCACCAGCCTGTACAGATGAGGCTCCCAATGTAGACATTGGCCAGGGCCTTTGCAAACAAGCCAGACCAGAAAGGTTCAACATTGACACCAGCCGCTTTAAAAAGGGCATAGGTCTTATCCTCTTTGACAGTCACCTTGTCGTCCTTGTGAAAGATAAAGGCAGAGTAGATGTGGGCAAGCTCAGAGATAGAGGCCATGGTGTGGGCTACTGGGCACAGTGCTAGTCACAGGATGAAGTGAGTGCCTCACCCCAGTTGGACTTTAGCTCCCTCAAAAGAACTCAATGCCTTGGCAGCAGCTGGGGAAAGAGAAAACACATTTTTAAAGGTGGTGATGATTGGGAGATATGTGGTAAATTTTAATAGTTATTGATACTTTATTTCTGTAATGGGAAAAACATTTAACTTGAGTTTTTAGGTTTATCATGAGATGAATGGTATCAGGGAAAGTGATATGAATCAGGCTCAGAGCAGTGCTCAATGTGTTGAGCTCACTTCTTTCCTCCCTCTGGTTGCCTTGCTGGGGTTGCATGACTCATAATGTTAAGTAAAATAGAGATTAGATAGCAAGTCCCACTGTAGTATGGTAGCAGACAGAAGATGATGACATCTTTTTATTTCTACTCTACAGGCTGCCATAAGAAAAGAATTAAATGAATTTAAAAGTTCAGAGATGGAGGTACATGAAGACAGCAAACATTTCACACGGTAAGACCCCAAAAGACTCAACTGTTAACAGCCAACTAAAACATATATATCAGAGTTGTTCAAATACGAAGAAATCTGATGATATCATTAAAAGAAAGTGATGATTATAAGACTACTTCAAAAGGAAAAAATACGAGAAAATGAAAAAATGGAAATGAAGTTTTTGTAAAGGGGGAGGGAAGAGGGGTGAAGGGAGGGCAGGGACATGGGGAAAAAAAGAGAACCAAGACCTGTCATGTAAAGGTACAAGATCCCAGTAATGAATGTAACTGTACTGTATACCTAAAATGTATTAATAAATTCAATGAGGAAAAAAAATTTTAAAAATACTACATTCAGAAAAAAGGAAGAGAAATAAGAGTCAATAGTATATACCTACTCTGAGTTTGGCATTTTTATGTATGAGGTGTGATCAAAGAATATGATGAATACTTAAATTTTTTTAAATGTAGTACAGTAAAACACACATTAGCTGAAGCCAGGAATAGTAGCACATGACCGTATTCCCATCATTCAGAAGGCAGAGGGAGGAAGAGTTCAAGGCCAAACTGAACTGCATAGTGAAACCCTGTCTCAATAAATAAATAAGACTCAGTGCCTTCAGTCCCTCTCAAAATACTCCTCCTCACTTCCAACACATTTATCCTATCATTCTTTCTTTTTTCTTTGTGGTACCAGAGATCAAACTCAGGACCTTGTGCTTGTGAGGCAGATGGTGGAACCACTGAACTAAATCCCCAGCCGCTATCCTATCATTCTTGCCACTTTCTGAAGCAGTTCTGGAAGTCCTCTTTCCTAGTTATCATTAGTTATGCTAGCATGTCTACCTGGATATCTCGAATTGATTTAAAATGCTTACCTTTCATGGTCATTTTGACTGAGGAGGAGCCAGAGCTGGTGAATAAGGTGGGTGAAGATATGCTATAATGTTTTTACAACCTGCCTTTCCATTGGATATCACTCAGCAGCAGGCGCCACAGTTTTGATCACACCTTGTAAAGATACTCATACAAGAAGACTTCCACAACTGCTTCAGAAAGTGACAAGAGACACACCTGTAGTTCCAGCACTGAGGCTGAGATAGGGGGATTGCCAAGAATTAAAGGCCAGCTTGAACCACACGGGGACACTGTGTCTCAGAAAGGAAGGAAGGAAGGAAGGTAGGGGTAAGAACAATAGGATAACTGTGTTTGATGGCAGGGAAGTGGGGCCAGAGATTTAGCTCAGGGGCACTGCTGCCTACCTTGAATGCTCAAGGTCCTAAGTTCCGTACCCAGTACCCCCCAAAAAAAAGGAAACAAAAGACAGGGAAGTATTTTGTGATTTTTTTTGTTTTTGTTTTTCTGTTTGTTTTGGTGTTTTGAGACAGGGTCTCACTATGTGGTTCAGGCTGGCCTTGAACTCACTACGTATTCCAGGCAGGCCTCAAACTCACAGCAATCCTCCTACTTCAGCCTCCCAAGTGTTGGCATTACAGGTGTGCACCACCACACCCAGCCTTAAACTCTATTTTTTATCAGTCCTTGTATATTAAATATTTTCCGTAAACTTGAAAAATAGGTTAATATCCCCATTTTTATCAGTTAAGAAATGGAGATTCAAATCCTTAAATAATTTGGGCCAGGCATTTAGCTCAGTGCTGCCACCTGTCTCACAAGTGCACGGTCCTGAGTTCAATCTCTGGTACAAAAAAAAAAGGAGTACAAATCCTTAAATAACTTAACTTGCCAATAGGTTACAGAACCAGTATTTACAGAAAGGAATGAATAATAATTTCAAATAGAATAGAAAGGAACTTCAGAGCCATGGAGTAATCTTTCTTGCATCTTACCTTCATAGTTTAAAGATGAAGAGACTGCTAAATTAGACAAGATCTTACACTATGTGGTTTTAGTCCTTTCTAGCACAGTTCTTACCAACTTGGTGTATGAACTTCATTTTAATTATTTATTTTCATGAAACAAGCTAAGTAGTATTTTGATTTGAAATAACTATTATGATTTAGGAACCAGCATTGTATATAATCAGCTAAACTAGGTGCAACATGACACTGCATACAATCCCAGCACTGAGAGAGTGAGGCAGAATATCAAGTAGTTTGAGTCCTGCTGGGCAATTTAGCGAGATCCTGTCTCAAAATAAAAAATAAAAAGGACTGTGATTTAGCTCAGTGGTTCAGCACCCCTGGGTTTGATCCCCAGTACTATCCCCCTCAAATCCCACACTTGTAATCCCAGTAGTTGGGCAGCTAAGACAGGAGGATCATAAATTGAAGGCCAGCCTAGGCTATATAGCAAGTTAAAGGCCAGTCTGACTACACATGGAGACCTTGGCTCAATAAATAAATAATAAGGCCAGGTGTGGTGGCTCATGCCTCTAGACCCAGCACTTGGGAGACTGAGGCAGGATCACTGTGAGTTTGAGGCCATCCTGGGCTGCACAGCAAGACCTTGTCTCAAAAACTAAACAAGTAGAAGGAAGAGAGGGAAGAACAGAGGGATAGAGAAAAGAGGTACTGATAAATGGTAGCAGTGAAAGTTATATATTTTCCTTTTTTTTAACCTGAGCTTTCTCACTGAGCTACATGCCAGCACTTTTTCTTTTTCATTCTGAGACAGGTTTAAGTTAACCAGGTTGATCTCAAACTTGCTACCCTCCTACCTCAGCCTCTCAGAATGCTGGGATTACAGGTGTACACCACCATGTCTGGCAGTGAAAGTTATCTTTATATTACTCTCTGAACAGAACCTAAAATTAAATAAGAAAATAATTACCAAGTTTGCTATCTAAAGAAGGACATAATTGTGTTTTTCTATCACCATACATGTAAATGATTATATTGATTACAAAAATTTTGGTACTGAACTGTGATGAGAGTGGCAGTAGTAAATTCCTAGTATAGTGATAACCCCTCTCAAAACATTGAGAGCACATTGTAATATGTAGCATAATGTAATATGAACACAAATAACAAACTATGCATGCCTTGAAGGATTTCTTAGTATAGTTTGGCAAAAGACCCAGGTATTACTAATTACAATACAATCAAAATAATAAATGCCTGAGTCAGTATGCCAAGAATCATACCAGAATTCTCACATTTCATGGCGATGTCAGTGTTAACTTTTTGTTGTCAACAATAATAGTAAATAACATGCTATAGTGAATGAAGTAAAAAAAAAAATAGTTCCTGCAAAAGAAGAATCATAGAGAAATTCATCTGAACAAAATGGAAGGAAAAAGCACTGCAAACAGCAGGACCAGCATAAGTGAAGCTATGGGAGGTGGAAAGTGCATGTAGTTAAAACATGATTTGTGGGGCATTGTGGTGAAGATATGCAGAAAGATGGGTTACAGTCCCACTTTGATGAGCTTTGCCTCAGGTGACATCCACACCTATAATTCCAGCATTTAGGAATGCTGATACAGGAGAATCAAGTTCAAGTTCCTGAACAGCTTAGCCAGACACTGTCTTAAATAAAATAAAATGGGGCCGGGGATTTAGCTCGGTGCCTGTGTCTGCCTGGCAAACATAAGGTCCTGAGTTCGATCCCCGATACCAAAAAATAAGTAAATAAAATAAAGTGGACTGGGAATACAACTCAATAATGGAGCTCCTCTGATTTCTAGCCCCAAGACTATAAAAAAAGAAAAAGGGCCAGGGATTTAGTTCAGTGGTGCCATCCCTGGTACCAAAAAAAAAAAAAAGAAAGAAAGAAAAGAAGAGCTTTATCTATTATGTTAGGATGTTGGAACCACTGGAAATTTAGAAGTATAAAATCCTTGCCAGGGATTTAGCTAAGTGGTGTTGCCACTTGCCTCGCAAGCACAAGGTCCCGAGTTCGATCTCCAGTACCAAAAAATAAAACTAGAAAATTCTGTGTATTTCCAAATGAGCACTAGTAGAACTATGGAAGATAATATGGAAGGATGAAGAGACTAACAGCAAAGAAACTAATGAGCACATGAATTAAATAGTCATAGTGACTGTAATCTCATCTACTTGGGAGACTAAGGAGGATGCCAGTTTATCAAGATCCAGTCTCCAAATTAAATTTTTGGTACTGGGGATTCAACTCAGTACCTTGCATTTGCAAGGCAGGCATGGTGCCACTGAGCTAAATCCCCGGCCCTCCTCTCAATGCTTTTGAAGGCCAGTAGAACCTACAGAATATTGATGTCTCACCTTCATCTACATCCTTGAGTTAGGGACGCTGACTTATATGCTTATTGTCTAACACAGCTAGCTCACATTTCTCCCACTATATGTAGTATTTCTTGCATTGATTTTTTTTTCGGTGCTGGGAATTGAACTCAAGACCTTGTGCTTGCGAGGCAGGCACAGCACCACTGAGCTAAATCCCCAGTCCATCTTGCAGATTTTAATCCTATTTAATGCTGCAAAACAAAAATATATGTCTCACAATGAAAACAATAATAAAAATAGAGTGGAGGAGAGACATAGTAACCTGTTATCTAGTAACTTGTTTTTGTTTTTGTTTTTATCATCTGTTTTAGCTACCATCGTCCATGATCGTGAAGTTTGAGAGGAACTAAACGACCCCCCCCCAAAAAAAAAAAAAAAAAAACAGGGTTGCTTTGCAGCTTGCCTCTGGAGTGACGTGGAGGGAGCTTCAGCACTTCCCAGCACTGCCAGAATTCTACCCTCTGGGATCTGGTTCTGGAGTAAACAGCACTCCTACAAATGTAGCTTTTCACTGGAATGGATTTTCATGTGCTGCCCTTGGGGCTGTGCCAAACACTGTCAGTGATTTTGAACTTTTCTTTGCAGCATACTTGAGGGGTTTTCCCTCACAGCCACCAAAGTTCTGGACCACTTTCAAGTTCCAAGTTGTATTGGCTTCACCACACCCCTGCCCCACAATGACTGCCTGTGCTGAGGCACAGTTTGCACCATTAGCCTTACCTGCCCTCCTGTGACTATGAGACCCACTTATGCAGGCACTAAATTTCCTCTCAAACCCAGTTGATGGTAAGGAAAATCCTGCGGAGACCTCAGCCTTTTGGTAAAGGGATGCCACTTCCAGAGGAAGCCTTTGTCCCATACTGGCTGTCACTTGAAAGTATTTCACTAAACTTCTTGTGACGCAGCAATATAGTCCTCAAGCTTGAGAGGAACCTCGAGGTCTCACATGTTCCTCCTTTTTTGGCACTTGTCATCCCTGTTTTTATTTTAAAGTGATCTTGAAAATTTCTGGGATTTTACACTTTTACTGTCTACTAGACAGTCTGAGCTGCAATTAGAATGCAGGTTGATCACATGAAAAACAACATATGTTTTCTATATACAAAAATAAGAAAAAGGCCTTAATATTAATGCCAACTTGGCAGAAAACTGACCTGTGGCTTATATTGTAAAGGCAGTTTTATTTTTATTGTACCAAATGATACTGTAAATCACTTCAACCAATAGATACATTCTCCCCAGTAAACAGAGTTGTGTGTACTCTGTGGGAGCACTTGTGTGCTGTCAGCCTCACACTTCCAGCCAGAATCACAGCAAGGTCCTAAGCTGGCTATGAGAAGGTGTTTGGAGAAGTACAAAGGAGAGGCACAGTCATGCCCTCTGCCCCTCGTATCTCAGTGGAGTTTCTGTCTCCTGCTGCACATTCCCTCTTCACTCTACCACTGTCCTCTCCTAACTGGCAGCTTCCACCTCACTCACCTTTCCTCTTCCACACTGTACCAGTGTGGTTACTGCCTAGGTGTTGGCTCAGCCCTCACCCCAGTTTATATTTGTAATATGTATTAGTATAGTTTCCTAAAACAGGTTTGGTCCTTTCCTTGAATTTTCATTGAAAACCAAACAGCCTCACTATTTGCTTCTTAATTCCTGTCCACACTGTAAGTGGAAAAGAAAAATAGTTTCTATTTAAGTAATGAATGTGGCTTTTTTTTTCTTTACTTTAATGTTTAGAAATTGTGTCTGTTTCATAAATTTCTTCTGAATTATTTTGTTGTCTCTGTCATTTGTTCAGTATGTAATCTTTCAGCAGATTTCTCTCTCTTCATGTCCACATCACACTTGTCAAAGAATCAGAATATCAGGTCAGCCAGGCGTGGTGGCATACACCTGTAATCCTAGCACTTAGGAGGCTGACACAGGAGGATCACCACAAGTTTGAGTACAGTGAGACCCCATCTTTAAAAAAAAAAATCAGGTCAAAGCAACAACAAAAAAAAGTGATCTTAAAGTCAGATTTTTGTTGGGGAGGGCTGGATTCCTTAGTTACTTTCAAATGTTTAATGGCTATGGAAATGATACTGGATCCACATATGCTTAAAACTTGCTAATGCTTAAGTACCTGGGAAAGATCAAAAAGGACTCTTAGTCCTTTAGAGGTTTGGATGTACAGTGGCCACACATTAACCACTAACTTGATTTCTCATCATTCTGTCTCATGGTTTGGAGACTGACTTATGCCCACATTCTCTGTGGCTTGAGAGTCTCTTTTTTTCAGTGTTTCTTTCCCTTAATGTGCCAAGCTTGAATTTTCTAAGCTACTTTTCTGCCTTCTCTGTGCCATCAAGGAATCTGGTTCATCTTTAATCTCATGTTCTTTTGAAACAAGATATTGGGGGGGTAAAGTTCATTCAGTTGTTTGTTCTTTTTCATGTATATAAAAATGGATTTTTGTGTTCTCTTTTTGTTTAAATTGGAAGCTCACAATCATGTAAAGAAGAAATAAAAGCCTGGTATATTATACTTCAGGATTCTTCCGTGGTGTACAGAATCTCCTTGTAAAATAAATAATTGCATTGTATATCAGTCTTCCCATTAAAATTAATTATTATTAAAGTATTTTAGAAGTTCAAAATACCAAACAATTCTCGTGTGAGGTACTTACTTTTATATTCTACTTAATTCCAGAAAATTAAAACCAGCTTTAAAATGATACACAAGCTGAATATGCTGGCAGACGCCTGTGATCCTAACACTTAGAAGGCTGAGGCAGAAGGATCACCATGAGTCTTGAGGCCAGGACTACATGGTGAGACCCTGTCTTGGAAAAAAAAAAAAAAAAAAAAACAGGCATCATGGTGCACAACTGTAATTCCAACACTTGGGAGGCTGAGGCAGGAGGGTTGCTTCAAGTTTCAGGCCTGCTTGGGATATATAGTAAGTGGAAAGCCAGCCTGAACTACACAGCAAGACCCTGTCTGGGGAAAAAATACTTATATTGCTAATGACCCTAAAAGAGAAGTAGATGGGCAGATGGAAGAAATAACAGGACATTAAATGCTGCCAGAGGTGTCAGTCATGTTTGTAAAACATGTAAAAGAATAAGTTCCAGAGAGAAGTCACCTGTGGATCCCTTATGTACCAGGCACTGCACTAGGTTCTTTGTCCTGTTTATCCACCCCAGCCTGGTAGGTAAGTAGTAGTGTACTCACTTATTTGTGAAGAAACTATGGTGAAGTTGTTTTCTCAAGATCAAATCAAATTAGGAAATCATTCTTTGCATACGCTGGAGGATAAGCACTTACATCCCAGTCAATTGACCCTGCATGGATTTACTCATATGGACCACATATAATAGGACCTCAGGCTGACCTCACAAAAGGATGGTTCGTGCTTCACATCCTCCTTTCAGGTGCCAATAGCTCACTTTCTACTGGTCATTTGAAAGACTGGCCTTATTTACCATATATCCTTTTAAAAGAAACCTTGAATACTCATGAACCCAGAACTACTAATGTCATTGGTCTTTTTATGCTCTCAAAAATGCTATTTCTCTTTGGGGCTCATCTCCAGAGGGCTGTTTTGAAAGTGCACATTGCTCAGTGTTTGTTGAAACAATTAATGGATTTAGATAATAGGAGAGGAAAGCTTGATAAACCACAAGAAAGGAGAGGTCCAATGGATACTAAGTGGATGAGGAATTAAGATGAAAATGGAGCCTTAGGAGTGACACACACCTCTACTCCTAGCTACTTGGGACTTAGGCAAAATTTAAAAGATTCTAGGGCTGAGTGTGATGGTACACACCTTTAATCTCAGCAGTCTGGGAGGTGGGGGGAGGAAGATAGCAAGTTCAAGTTCAACCTGGTCAATTAGAAATTTAACAAGACACTTTCCAAATAAAAAGGCTAGGAGCCAGGAGTACATACCTGTAATCCCAGCAGATGGGAGGCTGAGGCAGGAGGATCACCACGAGTAGGAGTTCAGCCTGGGGTACATAGTTCAAGGTGAACCTGAACTACATAGCAAAACCCTCTCTCAAAAGCAGGGAGGGTAACGCAAAGGTCGTAGGTTCAATCCCCGTAATATTAACAACAATGATAAAAATTAAAAGGGCTAGGATGTAGCCCAGAGGCTGAATGCTTGCCTAACCTAGTATATACAAAGCCCTGGGTTCAATCCCCAATACTAAAAAAAAAAAAAAAAAGTAATAGCTATAGAGATGTAAAATTAAGAATGTACAGTAAAAGTGTAGCCTTGAAGTTTAAATATGGCTTAAACTTCTTCAAGGTTCTGTTCAATTCCAGCACTGCAAAGCATGAAGAGAAACCAGGAAGCATCCTGGATTCTTACAGCAGGAATCCCTTTATGTGACTGTTGTTCCTTTATTCCCCTCAAGAATTTGCCTCCAAAAGCATCGTGTCATCTGACAGGAACAAACACCCTGTTTTGGACACCCACACCCCTTCCTTCCTGCCTTCATTTCTTTCATCTCTCTTTCCTATCCTCTCCCTACCCCCCAAAAATCATTCTTATCCTCTTTGCTTCAACCTATTACCCTATCTACTTTTTCTGCACTCCCTTCATGTAGTCAATTATAACAGTAAATAATTTAAGCTCCTATGCAGTCCAGGCAGTTGAGCTAAATGACTGACAAGTGGAGGGAGAAGTGATAGAGATGGAAACTAAGCTTTCCCAGGATCTTCATACTAAGCCAAATCTCCAGGCCTTTATATTATCTTGAGACAAAAGTCTTGTTAAATTGCTAAATTGCCAAGGCTTGAATTTGGAGTTCTCCTGCCTCCCAGAGTACTGAGCAGAAGGATCGCTAAGAGTTCGGGCCAACCTAGGCTACAAAGCAAGACCCTGTCTCAAAAAACAAAACCGAAAGATCTGGCTAGTCACTAAGTTAGTCAAGCTGTCCTCAAATTTGTGATCCTCTAGCCTAGGCCTCCCAGAGTGCTGTGATTACAGGTGTGCACCATCTTCCCTAGCAGTGCAGCTGTTACACACCACACACACACACACACACACACACACGACGAAGTTTTAACTTGATAACTCCCAAAGAAGTCTCAGGGACTCTGAGACACATTATAGAACTACTGATCTGGGCTGATTCACCCTCTCCCTCCTCCCCGCCCCCTCGTCAAATTTCAGAGTGGGTTTAAATTTGCACTCCTACTGCGCAGCCTGCCAGATTCCCGGGACTGCAGTTCTAGATAATCATGTTAATGTCTTAGAATTCCTGTGACAGTAAATAATGTACTATAGTACCCAGCACAAAATCTAATATAAAGAAGGCCTCAAATGTGTGTGTGTGTGTGTTTTTTTTTAGGATAGCACAACAGTAATGGCTCTACGTCTACTGAGCTAACGTATTTGTCGAATCCCACCCTCACAATACTGTCACATGTGCAGCACTTAACATGTTTTTTGGGTTTTGTTTTTTGCCTTGTCTTTTCAGATGCTAAGATGAAAAAGCACTTAACACTGAGTTACACCTCCAAGCCTTACAATACATATCTTCATCGTCCTTTATTGCCTAAGCTTTTATATCAGTTGGGTTTTCCGTGTTTCGTGTAATGAAAAATTACGTATCAAGCCCTTTATTGGTAGGCAACCACCCTATCACCAAGCAACACTCCCGCGCCCCCACTTTAACCAGTTTTCAGGTTATGGCTCAGGGGCATTAAGTACATTATTGTGCACAGTAAGCATTTAATTTTAGCCAATGCACCTACAAGAACTCCTGTCCTGTATTTTTTTTTTTCGAGTGTGACAGGCCAGATACAATCCCTTTTGAGACATTTTGCTTTTCAATGGATCTTTCGCTGTTTTGAAAATTTATTCCTAAACCCTTTTGGGCAATTAATCTGAGAGCACATTACACAGCCCAAGGAACCGACTGTGAAGTGTTTATGTTTTCCAGCAAAGTCTCTCGTTCTTAGGCTCTAGTATCGCGAGAGGCCTCGGCTCTAAACCAGGGTGGGGCTCAACTATGTACATCCCAGAAGCCTTAGCGAATTTCTTAACTGCGCATGTCACTGCGTAGGCGCGTTAGAAATTCCGTGACTTCCGGACCCTTCGTAAGGTATAAGTATGGCTGCTTCAGGCTCGTTGTATCTTTCAAACAAAGGATATCTTATGTTCCTTCTAATTTAGGTGAGTGTTTTTACTTGCCAAAGTGCATCTCATGTTCCTTCCTACTTAAGTGTTTTTACCTGCCTGGTTTGTCTGCTGCAGGTATTAACAACCAGCCTTTCCTGAGGGGGTTATTTAGAACAGATTCCTTCAGGGGCGTCCATACTAATTAGGTTTAAGTGGAGTCTGAGCCGGATGTGGCCGTTAAAGGATCGCTCCCTTGGCTGTCCAAGCGCCTGCGGGACGTCCTACCTCATCCTCCAGGATGCTGAAATAATAGATGTACTGCTTCCTAGAGGGTATATGTCGAATGGATTTGCACACACGTATTACTGGGCTTCCGCGATTAAAAAATTAACACTTTATAATTCGGGTGATATAACAACTCTATGCTTGAATTTACGGTGGGTGAGCAAGTTAGCTCTGTTTTTGCCATTACCTTCCGCTGAGTAGTAATATCACACTTAAGTTTCTAGATAAGCTTGCTGAGAGTTACCCTGTGGTATTGAATTCCAGGCCATTTGCCTATGTCTCAAGCCCTTTTTTGTTCTTTTTTAAGACTAAGTTTCTCAGGCTAGGCTTTAACCGTGATCCTTACGCCTCAGCCTCCAAGAATTGTAGCTGATGACAGAAATGTACCATCATCCTGGCTTGAAAATTAAACTTCTGATAATTTGATGTCCAGCTTGCATTTATTGGGTTTAATGATTGATTGTACTATATCCCAGGAAAGTCGCTATCCTTTACATAAAATTATTTCTCAATGCACTCACCTGTAAATTATACGAGTTGCTCTGACTGTCCAACGTGGATATCCCGGGAGGTCACTCTCCCCGGGCTCTGTCCAGGTGGCCTACGGGAGCATAGGGCTCTGCCCCATGATGTACAGTCCCTTTCCACAACGTTGGAGAAGAAGCTGGGCCTTGTGTCTGCGCCTGCATATTCCTACAACTTCTCAGAGTCCTTTGGGCAATGACTGAGGAGATAAACCATGCAGGAAACAGTCCTAGATCTTGAAGTCTGGATATAACAGCCTCATTTAAGAAAAATTTGTTTTAATCTCTCGGTGCATCATTTTTCTTTCAGAATTCACTGATGATTCCAGATAACTTTTTTTGGTGGGTAAGTAAATCAGCACTGAATTTTTTTAGGATTAAGAGTATTTGTCAGGTGATCCTTATTCTAACTTGTCAAGCTCTACATGAGACACTTAATTGTATGCACAGAACGCTACTTCTATCCACATACAAACTTGGCTCCATCAATAAAATAGCATACTAAAATATTTCTTACATACTTATGTGGTTGAGGAGAGAATTAGTTAACTAAAAAGGTGCTGAATGTAGCTCAGTGGTAGAGCATTCCAGGTTCCATTTCTAGTATTAGAAGAAAAAGTGAGAGGATTAAAAACAGAAGATAGGGTGATTTGACCAGGGTCACAATTACAGAGCTTTAACCTCAGTCATGTAAATAGCATATTTCTGGGCTGTGTACAGGAGAGCTACACTGCAACTGTTACCAATAAATAACTGTTGAGTAGAGCATGGAGTAAACCATAACTCTAACCCTAGAAACTCTTAACAGGGTTTCTTGTTACCTGTTTAGATAAGAAAACTTTGTGAGGGGCTGGGGATTTATCTCTGTGGTGGTGCTGCCTGCTTCACAAGCGCTAGGTCTGGAGTTTGATCGGCAGTACACCGCCCCCCCCCTCGGCAAAAAAAAAGCTGCTGAGGATGTTTTAAGGGGTAATGTTTGGGAATGTTATATTTGTCAGTCCAGCTTCCCAGGAAGCTTCTCAGAGTCCTTTGGGAAATGACTGAGGAGATAAACCATGCAGGACATGTCTAGTAAACTAAGACTAGATTACAAGGCCAGGGATTTAGCTTAGTGGCGCTGTGGCTGACTTTCAAGCGCAAGGTCCTGATAACCCAGTACAAAAAAAAATTTAGCTGGGCGTGGTGGCACATGCCTGTAATCCCAGCACTTGGGAGGCTGAGGCAGAAGGATTGCCACAAGTTTGAGGCCATCCTGGACTATAAGTGAGTTCAAGGCAGCCTGAACTGTTCAACAAAACAATGCCTCAAAAACAAAACAAAAAACTGCAAAATTCCAGAATATAATCTTGTTTCTTTTCATTGAGGAGAAAGGAGAACCACACTGGATTTGGCCATTCACCTGGAAGACGTGTTCAAAAATACAGTGAATGCTGCTGGTAAGTCCCATCTAAGAGAAAGGAAGAGATTCTCAATACAAGAAGTAGTTTGTGGAACTTTACAGTGTGACAAGTTTTTTTAACTTGTTCAGTGAGCTACAGTTGAGAAAAGGTGTTTTCGACTCTTCTGTAAATAATGGATCACGAACAACGCATCAACGTGGAGTTTTGTTTCAAACTACAAAAAACTGCTAAAGAAACACATGAGATGTTAAAATTAGTGTATGGTGATGGTGCAGTGACTATGGAGACAGTTTCTGAGTGGTTTGAACAATTTCGTAATGGCTGTGAATCAGTTGAAGACAAAAAGAATGTCCTTCAACATCAAAAACCCAAAAAAAGATTGAAAGAATGAGTGAAATGATGAGATCAAACTACAGTTGACTTACGGACAATTTGGAGGATCTGAAGGTCTGTTCCATTCAAAGCATTTTAACATTTGAATATAAGGAGAGTACCAAATTTGTCCCACTCTTGACTGCTAACCAAAGCAACATTCATTTGTAATTCTCTTTGGAGCTGTGCACTGTACCATTTCAGGTTCCATCATTTTAGTAAATGTCATCAGGGGACAGAAACTTGAGTCTGTGATTATGGTGCGGAGACCAAGATTCCCAGTTTTCAGTGGAAATCACCCAGGTCGCCCTGTGTAAGAACAGCACATCAGTCAAGATCCAACATCAAGGTGATACTCTGTTTTTCGACCTTGATGGAATTGTGGGATTTGAGTTTGTAACCAGGAGCCTTGAAAATTACAAGAGTTTATTAGAGCATTTACAAAATGACTTGTGAAGACAGCCTGAGAAATGGGTTTATCCTTCATCACTGTGGCAATTCATGCCATGTGTCACTTGATACAGCAATTTCTGTTTCTTCCTTACTGGATCTGACACTGCAAATTCTTGTTCTTCCCCAAAGTCAAAATGACTGAAAGGTAAACATTTTCAGTAGATTAAGATTACAAAGGTAGCCAGCACACACAACTAAAGACACAAGAGAGGCCAGCCATAGTGGCGCACGCCTGTAATCCCAGCACTCGGGAGGCTGAGGTAGGAAGATCGCTGTGAGTTCGAGACCAGCCTGAGCTGCATAGTGAGTTCCAGATCAGTCTCACTACATAGTGAAACACAAGAAAGAATTGCTTCAGGCTCTTGCTGAGTTACCCAGGCTGGGCTCAAAGGCATTTGATTCTTCTGCCTCAGCTTCCCTGAGTATCTCTCTCCTTTTTTTTTTTGTACCAGAGATCAATCGAACTTGGGTCCTTGTGCTTTTGAGGCAGGCAGCAGCAGCACTGAGCTAATTTTTTTTTTCTTTTTTTGTGGGGAAGTACCAGGGATTGAACCTAGGACCTTATGCTTTGGAGTGTATAAGAATTTAAGGCTCTGGGCATGGGCAGATCAATTAAAAGGTAGAAGCATGGCTCCTGGTCTTTGCCTCAATCTCTAGCACCCAGAAAAGTCCTGCCAAGTTGAAATTTCTCGTATTTGGCTTTTCCACCATTCTCGAGATGGTGGTTACCAAACGAAACTAGCTGTGTTTTTAAATGAGTAAACTGCACATGAACTATATTTGGCATTTCAAATCAAACTGAGTACTCAATGAATTGAAATAAAGATTACTGTGTGTGTGTGTGTGTGTGTGTGTGTGTGTGTGTGTGTGTGTGTTGTTCCTTTATGTAGAAATGTGGCGAGGGCTTCGGCCAAACTACTATTTAATTGTTTTGATTCAGAGGTAAAGCAACTTACAGTGGATTTGGGGGTATCATGGGGATAATTACTGATAGGTGATTGGTCATGGATATTGAATGAGAAGTCAAGTTTGAGTACAATTGCACATCCTACCACTACACTGTGTGGGAAAACTGACTTGAGGGCAGAGGTGGCAAACCTATAGCATGCATTCCACAGCAGTCTGTATCACTGGAAAGCTCTAAAAGGTTACCATCACTGCTTTAGGGGTTAGGAGACTTTGCTTTGGACAGCTAGTGTGCTCAGTTTTCTGCCTCCTGGTTTTTTGTTGTTTATGTTTGTGTGGCCTGGAACAACTTTCCTTCTCTGTTCCTCTTTCCTCATTTTTTGTTTTGTTTTGTTTTTTTGAGACAGGGTCTCACTATGTAGTTGAGGCTGACTGGAACTCACTGTGTAGCCCAGGGTGGTCTCAAACTCACAGCAATCCTCCTGCCTCAGCCTCCTGAGTGCTGGGATTACAGGCGTGAGCCACCATGCCCAGCAACTTTCCTCATTCTTAAAGTGGAAATCTTTTTTTCTCAAGGACTAGGAAATGAACCCTGGGCTTTTTGCACAGAGTTATGGCCTTGTCCCCAACCCTTTTTAATTTGAGACCATTGTCTCCCTAAATTGCTTAGGCTAGGCTACAACTTGTAACTCTTGCCCCAGCCTCCCAGAGTGCTGGGCTTCCTCCTGTTTATCATTCACTTGAGTCTAAAGTTAACCTATTTCATGGTGTGAGTGAAGTCACAGTGGAAGCCTTGTGAAAGCCCAAGCACTGGCTACCAGCATGTTTTCCATGAACAGAAGAGCGTCCTTGCTTTGCATTTTTTGCTCATATCTAATTTGTGGTTTAATAAATATCCTTCAATCTCCTGTGTTCAATGTTTTTTTTCCAGGCACTTTTTTTTTTTTTTTTTTTTTTTTTTTGTACCAAGGATCAAACTTGGTTCCCTGCACTTGACAGCAGCAGAACCACAAAGCTAAATCCCCGGCCCTGCTTTTTCAAGTTTATGTAGAAAACGACATACAGAATCTAGTGCCCCTAGCCCACCTAGCCATAGTTTAACTTCTAGACAAGGGAAGGGGAGCAGAGTCCTGCAGCCTCTGCAGGGCCCACTTCTTGTCCATCTATCTCTTGGTTGCCAGCTTCTTGTCACACTCCTGCACATACTTCTGGGACCCTAGAGGTGGCAGGAGCAGCCAGGTCACTGAGGAGGCTGTGGAGACCCTGGCGCTTGGCCTGCCCCGCACCCCTACTGGTGCCCAGGTTCATGTGGAACATCTCAGGAAGTGGGCCTTGGTGGGGAGACGGGAAAGTTGTTTCAGTCAAAACGTAGGGGTCCCCAGTGCTCTTCACGGTGCCCCATTGGACTATGCGGTCCTCCTCACCAGGGGGTGTGGGGGGGTGTCCTTGATGCCATCTGGTGAGTCGACTGTCAGTGTTGTCACCTTGTGCACTGAACGGATATGAGGAGACAGGTTCTCCACAATGGGGTTCACGGTTCCCCTAGTTCCCTGTGTTCTGCAGGGGAGGGGAGAGGATCTGCAGCAACTCCGCCCATGTGGATACCCGGCTGCACTGATGTATGTTCCTTTTAACATGACAGTCTAATGTAGATACATAGTTGGAGAAAATGCCAGCCATCCTCAGGTAAGTTATTCTGTGATGAAATTGGCATTTTTTTGTTTGAGACAGGGTCTTGCTATGTAGTCCAGGCTGACCTCGAATTTGGTGGCAATTCTCCTGCCTCAGCCTCCGGAGTGCTGGAATTACAAGGCATGCATCACCATGCCAGCTAAAATTGCACTTTAGTTAACAGTAGTGCAGAGTGAACCACTATATTTTTTATGCAGAAAGTACTTTATCCTTTCCTTGACACATAATATTAAAGTGGTACATGCTCACAGGGTGAAAATAGCTGGACTATTACATGAGAAACACAAGTTATATAGTGCCGAGGATTTAGCTCATTGGCACCTCACCTGCCTTACAAGCGCGAGGTCCTGAGTTTGATCCCTAATACAAAAAAACAAAACAAAAAACAAGTTACAAATAAAGCAAATTAGGAAGTAGAAACATCTTTTCTCAAATAGGAAGGGGATCAAGAGATGGAGGGCAAGGAGGAAACGAAAAAGGGAATTAACACGTTCATAACAAGGCTTAAATCTGTATGTGTCCCTGCCAGGCAGCTCTGAACCACAAATAGTAAACACAAGACTATCCCATTGGGACGGTCATGGAACAGTCATGCATGTACTGTACCTCCAGTGAGCTGGCAGGAGCATGCCAAGGTGTGTTATGTACATATACCAACTTCACACAAGGAGTGAAAACCTGCTAAATAGTTTTTAAATAGCTGGCCAAGGTGGCGGACACCTGTTACCCATCTACTGAGGAGGATGACAGAGCAACCCATTCAGCTTCCCTCCTGTCTCTCAGGAGCTATTCCTATTCCCTAATAAATTTTCCTACTCTTAAAAAAAAGATGACAAACTCAAGCCCACCTGAGCAATTCAATGAAACACACTATCTCAAGAAGGGCTAAGAATGTTATTTTTTGTTTGTTTTCTTTTTTAATCAGTGCCGTCCCACTGATCTACATCTCCATTTGACTTGGGTTTGGCTAAGTAATTATTAAGTTGCGTTCTTCCTGCATCCGCTCCCAGAGTGCTGGGGTTACAGTTCTGGGTAATCATTCCATATTTTAGAACTCCTCTGATAGTAAATACTATAAATATACCAAAGTACCCAACAAAATATTTGCAAGCGCAAGGTCCTGAGTTTGATCCCTGGCACTTGGGGGAGAAAAATATATATATATGGAACACCTAAAGAAGGTTTCTGTTGGAATAGCCCAACAATCCTGGCTCTGTCAGTTAATTTAACATACATTTGCCTAATCCCACAGTTACAGTACTACCACTTGCATCAAATGTGGTGACACATTCTTGGAATCCCAGCTCCAGGACCTCATCTGAGAAGTACTCAACATTGAGCTACACCACCACTCCCAGCCAAGCAACAGGTTATCTTCAGCATCTTTTTACTATATCCTTGTATTAGTCTGGTCTTCTGTATTTTGTATGGTAAAATGCACATAATACACCATTTTAAGCAGTTTTTGTTTTTCCCCCCAGGGCCGGACAGCAGACCAACCCCTTACATTACTAGCCAAGTGCCCTACCACCAACCAACACTCATGTACCACACTTAAACCAGTTTTCAAGTTACAGCTCGGTGGGATCAAGTATATTGATGTACGTAGGAAATTTAATTTTTTTTTTGAGACAGGGTCTCACCATGCATTTAAGGCTGTCTTTGAACTCACTATGTACCCCCAGACTAGCTTGAACTGAGGGCGATCCTCCTCCCTCAGCCTCCCCTAGTGCTTGGTTTACAGTCCTTTGCCGCGCCTAGCGCAGTTTTTTAGCTAATTCATCTAGCACTCCAGTCCTGTATTTCTCGTCCCGTATTTATCACGTGTGACAGGGTAGATATAGTCCCCTTTGAGGCTTTTTCTACGGATGTCTTTTCCTATTTTGCAAATTTATTCCAAAACTCATATCCAATTAATATAAGAATAGAGCCCCACAGATCGAGCGAAAGGACTAAAGAATTTAAAATCCTGCAAGACCCCATTAACTATAGTCCCGCGCGCAGCTTCCGGTATCGCGCGATACTCTACGCCACATAGGGGTGGGACTCAACTTGCGTACGTCCCAGCAGCCTTAGCGAATTTCCAATTCGCTGAGTGCGCATGTCGTCGCGTAGCTACGCGCCCCTCAGGAGCTATAAATTTGGGTGCTTTGGAGTAGTTCGGTCTTTCCAGCACCCTGAACTTGTGGTCTCTATTGTGAGTATTCTTATCTGGCGGTTTAGAAGAAATATTTTCAGTTGCCTTTCATACTAGTGAGGCGGAGAGGGCGGGAGTGGTTACACAGATCCGGGTACTGGGTTATGGAGTTTCTCACGGGCCCGAGGTGTCCACGGCCTCCTCTTCCCGTGTTCTGTAGTTTCTCTTCCTGCCTCGTAGTAGGCACTTGTACCCTAATGGAATTACACAGGCGTTTGACTTTGGGCCCCCATCCGCGATTAAATTAAGGCTTTGTAGTTAGCGACCAGCTTGCTTGGCTTGAATTCCGGATGGATGAGTGCACGTTCTGGCTCTGCTTCTGCTATTATCATCCACTGAGTGCTGGTTAATCTTTTAATGTTATAGTGACTCATTGGTCTTGAAGCTGAATTTTGGTTGCGTTTTGGTACTTGATAATCTACCATAATATACCCGGGAAAATCTCTACACCACGTTAGATTATTTCTCAGAGTAGTCGTGAGTTACATGAGTCGCTCTGACTGTCCAACGTGGATATCCCGGGAGGTCACTCTCCCCGGGCTCTGTCCAGGTGGCGCTTCTGCCCCATGATGTACAGTCCCTTTCCACAACGTTGGAGAAGAAGCTGGGCCTTGTGTCTGCGCCTGCATATTCCTACAACTTCTCAGAGTCCTTTGGGCAATGACTGAGGAGATAAACCATGCAGGAAACAGTTCTAGATCTCAGTCTTGGTATAACAGCCTCATTTAAGAAAAGTTTGTTTTAATCCCTTATTTGGTGCGTTTTTCTTGCAGAATTCACTGAATATCCAAGATAACTTTTTGTGGGGTAAGTAAATCTGCACTGTATTGTTTTTGGATTAACAGTATTTGCTTGTCAGCATTCCACCTTTGAGTTATTTAATCATTATAAGCACAGAATGCTAGTTTTTAATCTATGTACAACCTTGTTTTCCTGTATAATTTCGTGAGTCTCGTTTAAAAACTTTTTAAAGCTGGGTGTGGTGGCCCCTTCCTCCAACTCCGACCTCTGGGAGGGAGGAGGAGCGCCATGGGTTTGAAGCCAGCCTGGACTACATAGTGAGTTCTGTCTTAAGAAACGTGCTGGGCCAGAGATTGGCTCAGTGGTTCCACCACCTGCCTGAATTCAGTCTCCCCTGTACCAAGAAAAGAAAGAAAAACAAAAATGCTGTTTAGTTTGTGCGGGGTTTTTTGTTTGTTTTTCTTTTTTTTGGTACCAGGAATTGAACTGGGACCTTCTGCTTGCAAGGTGGGTGGCAGCACCACTGAACTAAATTCCCCAGCCCTAGTCATGTTAATATAGGAGAAATCTAGTTTTCAACCTGGCAGGTGTCAAGTGGTGCAGTTCGTGTACTCCTACAACAAAGAATGGAGTTGTGAACCAAAGGAAGAAGTTAGGAAAGATTCACTGGAAAACCGCAGAGGATACCTCTTGTATTTCCAGGGGAGTCGGAATTGGGTTGCCACCAAGGTTCTTTGTTGAGTAATGTACATAGCAGAGTCAAAATATGGCTACAGTGATGGTCAAACTTTCATGGACCTTTAAAACCATATGTAATGTTGATCTAATAGAGGAACCCTATGTCACCTAGCAAGTGTATAGGGAAAGAATAATGCCCCCCCGCCCCGACAGGGTCTTGCTGTGTAGTTCAGCTTGTTCTTTCTCTATACGTAGGTATTAAAACAGACTCCAGTGACTCAAGAAAAGCCAGGGAAATTGTTTTATTTAAATTTGTTAGTTCAATTTGGCACTAAGGCCAGGAATTCCAACGTGGATATCCCGGGAGGTCACTCTCCCCGGGCTCTGTCCAGGTGGCCTACGGGAGCATAGGGCTCTGCCCCATGATGTACAGTCCCTTTCCACAACGTTGGAGAAGAAGCTGGGCCTTGTGTCTGCGCCTGCATATTCCTACAACTTCTCAGTCCTTTGGGCAATGACTGAGGAGATAAACCATGCAGGAAACAATGTCCAGTATACTTACGGCTTTAAATTTGAGTTAACAAACTTCAAGAATATAATGTTTTGTTTTTCCATTCAGGATAAAGAAGAACCATATTGGACTTGCAGAGGACCTGGTTTTATTTGGGCTCCTTGAATTAGGGAGACTTGGTAAATTGGTAATGGTTACGTTGGGTTTGTGTTGTTTTCTGATAATGTTTTTTTGCATTTGTCTCTTGGTTTTATCTTTCTGAGACAAAGGGTGCCTACAGTTCAGGCTGGCCTTGAACTCAGCATCCTCCTGCCTCAGCCTCCCAAGTGCTATTGGGAAGTAGGAAGAATGTTGAAAGGAGTAGGACTTTTAAAAAAAATAAAAAGAACAAGGAAAATAATAGAAACAAATATTTACTACTTACCTGTTCAGAGGCCTTCAAAGCTGAAAATTGTCATTGATGTTAAAATTGGCTTTTTTTTTTTTTTTTTTTTTTACAAAAACCATTGCCAAGGAGATAGCAATTTCAAACAACCGCTTAGGATTTTGAATGGATTCTAAATGCATAGAATTACATGTGTGTCCTTGGGGAAATGTTTGGATTTTCTGCTGTAAATATTACCTCACAATTCTGATATCAAACTAATGTATTCATGAGTTGAAATAAAAATTACATATTTGTGCGCTTTTTATGTGGAAATGTTAATGTTCAGAGTTCAATCCCAGGTACCAAAAACTTTTTAAATGGAAAAAAAAGCTAGGCTATTTGCCGCATGGTTTTAGGACAGTACTAAACAAAACTTGTCTATCTCTGGCCATAAAGAAATGCAAATTAAAATAACAGATTCCATCTTACCTCAAAGAATGGCTATCAGGAAATCAATCACATGCAGAGGCTGGTAGAGGACAGTAACCTACATTGTTAGTGGGATTGTAAAGTAGTAAAACTACTGTAGCCATCAGTGGAGATTTCTCAAATGAAGCAAGTTCATTGCATTGGGTGGTGGCACATGGGAAGTTAAGATAGGATCACTACAAGTTCAAGGCCAGCCTGGGCTCAAAAAACCCAAAACTAAAAACAGTATTTCCATTTGACTCAGCTATTCTAGGTATCTTACCAAAAGAATTAGTGATGCCTGCATATCTGTAGCGGTACGGCTTATAATCTTGGAAGTGGTATATACTCCATGAACATTTACACACAATTGAGTACTGTGCTATCAAGGAGGATAAATGAGTTGTAGAGAACTGGATGCACCTGGAGATAAAGTTAAGTCAGGGCTGGGGATTTAGCTCGGTGGTTCTGCCTGCACTGCAAATGCAAAGTTCCCAGTACCAAAAAAAAAAAAAAAACAGGTATGGCATGGTTAGGGGCTAGGGATTTTTTGCTCTGGTTCCGCATGCCTCACAAGTGGAAGGGCAGAGTTAGAAAGTGAATAAAGAGCAAAATAAAAGTTCCTTGAAAGCATGAGGTCCTGAGATCTGGAAGGAATTAAGTTGTGTTATGCACTTGTACCAGCTCCCCATGATATGACTGTTGCAAGCATGTGTTGGTAAAAGTAAACATTTTAAACATGCTCATTAAACAACTGAATATTTTTAAGATTTCTAAGCAAGAAAATACGGGGGAAAAGTCACAGGAAACCATGATTTAAATTAGAGATAAGGTGGAATTAAAGGGAAAAAAGGAGAGGAGCAGAGGCTAGAAGGATTTTGTTTTTGGTACCAAAGGTCAAACTAAGGCCCTTTTGCTTGCAAGGCGGGTGGCTAAACCACTGAGCTAAATTCCCAGCCCCAAGAAGGATTTTGCTTCAGGCAGGAAATGAACAGGGAAGGAGAGAACTAGACAAGCTCTGTCCATTTCAGGAGCATATTGACTGGAAGGATTTGAGGGAATGTAGATGCATGGGAAAGTACAAAGGTATTTAGGTTTTAGTTTAGGTTTTGTTTTACTTCCTTTTTGAGACAGGGTCTTGCTACATAGTTCATGCTGGCCTTGACTTAGCAGGGATCCTGCCTCATCCTCCCTAGTGCTGGGATTATAGGCACGCATCACCATGTCCCGCTGAGTTTATTCTAAACTTTTAAGATGTTCATTTTAGTCTTTCATGGTGGCACACGCTTGTAATCCCAGCACTGGGGAGTGAGGCAAGAGGATTGCTTTGAGTTCCAGGCCAGCCTGAAGTACATAGCAAGACCATGTCTCAAAAAAACAAGGGCTGGGGATTTAGCTCAGTGGTTCTGGCACCTGCCTTACAAGCACAAGGACCCGAGTTAAGTCCCTGGCACCAAAAAAAAAAAAAAAAAGATCAAAAAGAGATGCTCAGTCTTCTAGGTAGAGATGTAAGGTTGTAATTTAGGATAGATGTCAACCATCCCAGATGGTCTGTCCTGTCAGATTAAAAATAGTGGCTCAAAACTATTAGAAATTTTAAATAACTGGGCATGATGGTGCTCACCTATAATCGCAGTACTCAGAAGTTTGAGTCCAGCCTGAGCAATTTAGGACTTAGTGAGACCCTATCTCAAAAGTAAAAACTAGAAAAGGGCTGGGGATATAGCTTAGTGTTAAGTCCCTGAGTTCAAGCCCCAGTACCAAAAAAAGAAAAACTTTTTAAATTAAATAAGTGATAGGGTTGGGGATTTAGCTCAGCGGTTTGGTGGCCTGGCCTTGCAAGTGCAAGGACCTGAGTTCAATCCCTGGTACCAAAAAAAAAAAAAGTGATGGTCCAGGCTGGGTGTGTAGCTCATTTGTAGAGTAACTGCTTAGCATTTGCCAGGCCTGGATTGCATTCCCAGTACTGGCAAAAGAAAGCAGATGACGCAGCTGTGAACTGGAGTCAAATCCCTTTCCACCACTTGTGTGATGAAACCTAGAAAATTAACCTCTTTAATCTCATTTCCCAACCATCATGAGATTTTTGTGAGGAGTAAGTGAGCTGACACACATGGATGTTTCTCTATGTAACCTATAGTTTTACAAAAGAGCTAATTTTTTTTTTGCAATTATGCTAAGTCAGGTAAGATTTTTTTTCTCTTTTTTTTTTTTTCTTTTTTCATAGGGTCTCACTATGTAGTTGAGACTGACCTGGAACTCACTATGTAGGCCAGGCTGGCCTCAAACTCACAGTGATCCTCCTGCCTCAGCCTCCTGAGTGCTGGGATTACAAGCGTGCGCCCCCACGCCCAGTAATGTAAGATTTTAGAGGAAGACAGCAAAAAGACACTAGAGATTGCAGGGGGGGATTTTGGAGAAATTTCATAGTATATCATCCAAAAGAGGGAGTCCATGATGGAGGCAGAGGTAAACTTACAGAGGTAAGAAACTGAAGGGACGGGAATGCTTTGGGGTTGGCACTGTATGGCAGAAGAAATTCAGTTGGAAAATATTCATTAAAAAAACATTCATAAAAATGTCCATATAGGCTGGGCGTTGTGGCGCACACCTGTAATCCCAGCACTCAGGAGGCTGAGGCAGGAGAATCGCTGCGAGTTTGAGACCAGCCTGGGCTACATAGTGAATTCCAGGGCAGTCTCAACCACAGTGAG